CTCAGCTCCCCATGACGTCACCACCAGTCACCATGCAGGAATTCATCCAGAGCATTGAGAGGCAGACAGTAGTCCTCCCACAAAGCCCTATTTGCATTTCTCCAAAGGCACATGTCACGGGTTTCCTGAATTATTGTGGCTCCCGTCTGTGTTGTATCTACCGAACTATGCACTCTTTGAGCAAAGAGATCGTGTATTAATAATCCACATCCCCCATAAAAACAGGACCTCAATAACTGTTAAATGAATGAATATATGAATGAAAAAAATCAGTGTGTATATGAGCATGCCCAGGCAGAACTGCCCATTTTTCTCTGCAACAAGATACCATTTGTCCTATTATTGAAGACATTCCTCCCGACCCTTAAGAGATTCCAAAGGCTAATAACCTTCAGAGTCAAGAGGATCGTTTTTCCTTGTCTAATCTAAGTTTCTCCAGATGCAACTTTGGTGCATTTTCTTCTAATCTGCCTCCCTGGCCACTGGGACTAAAACTCATTTCTTCTCAAGAAGACAGTTATTAATTCACCCTTTTAGCCTTTTCTTCAACAAATTTAATCCCAGGCCCTTTATTGTTCCCCCCTGGGGTCCTATCATCCAGCTCTTTCCCTGCTCCACTGCTCCTTCGGCCTTCTGCCAAGCTCTCAGAGGCCTCCTTCAGCGGTTGAGGCAGGAATGGGACATATTGTTCTCCACGGAGCCATGTACAAACACACAGATGCCTACGCACACAGGACAAACCCCTCTCTGCACCCATTATCCCCAATCCTTGGTAAACACATACTCATAGGTAGCCTCCACCCACAGCCACAGATTCATCTCCTCCCACCTGCACTCCCCCCAGCCCTAGCCCTGCGAATTCTCACACACCTGGATGCACACTCACACGCACATGAATAGGCGGCACAGAGCTACGCTTGTTACCCACAGGTGAGCCAAACTGGGTGGAGCATCTGAAACCCTCTTCCTTCTCCCTTCGTCCTCCTCCTCCTCCTCCCCCTCCTCCTCCTCCTCCTCTTCCTCCTCCTCCTCCTCCTCCTCCTCCTCCTCTCTCCCTCCCTTCCCCAGCTCTCCTTTCCATTGGCCACGACGAGCCAAGCCTACTTTGCCTCCACCTCCATAGTGATTTTCCACTTCCAGGCTGAAGGCCAGGAACAAATAACCAAAGCTGGTTCCTCCGTCTTCCTCCTGCCCTCCTCCCATTCTTTTTTCCCCAAATCCTCAAATCGCCTTCCATTGAGAGAGAGGTGTGGGGGAAAAAAAAATCACCTTCCATTTATCCAGAGCATGCACTCCACCCTCCAACCTCCTTTCCTCTGTCTGTAGGAAATGCAGCTTCTCGGGCTTTTGTTCTTTGGAAATGAATAGTCTGGAAGCATTGGAAGCAGACAGACGAGCTGGGCTTTATCTCAGATCTGATGGCAGGCTGGGTTGCTAGGCCCTTGGGCTGGCTGGGCACTATGTTGCCAAGCCGGGGGACTGAAGAGCATGAGGGTGGTGTCGTGCTTATTCATTCATTCAACAAATATTTATCCAGCACCTACAACATGCCAGCCACTATTCCACATGAGCAAAACCAACAAAAGCCTGCTTTTCTGTAGTGTACATTCTATGGGAGGGGACAGAAAATAAATAATTAAAATATATTGGGTGTCAGGTAGTGATAAAAGCAAGCAGGAGCAGAGCACGGGGTGCAGGCTGAGGGTGGAGTGTGCAGTTTTAAATGAGGTGATCAGGGAAGGTGACATCTGAACAAAAACCTGAAGGAGATAAGGCGCAACTGGGGGTGAGACCTGGAAGGAGATAGTTCCAGGCGGCAACAGCAGCCCTGCAAGGGCAGAGTGTTAGGAAACACCTGATAGGGAGTCGAACAATGAGAACACATAGACACAGGCAGGGGAACAACACACACCGGGGCCTGTGGTGGGAAGAGCGTTGGGGGTGGGGCTTAGAACCGAGGTGATGGGCTGATAGATGGAACAAACCACCATAGCACACATACACCTATGTAATAAACCTGCACATTCAACACATGTATCCGGAACTTTAAAAAAAAGAGAGAGAGTCCGGGCGCGGTGGCTCAAGCTTGTAATCCCAGCACTTTGGGAGGCCGAGGCGGGTGGATCACAAGGTCGAGAGATCAAGACCATCCTGGTCAACATGGTGAAACCCCGTCTCTACTGAAAATACAAAAAACTAGCTGGGCATGGTGGCGCGTGCCTGTAATCCCAGCTGCTTAGGAGGTTGAGGCAGGAGAATTGCCCGAGCCCAGGAGGCGGAGGTTGCGGTGAGCCGAGATCGTGCCATTGCACTCCAGCCTGGGTAACAAGAGCGAAACTCCGTCTCAAAAAAGAGAGAGAGAGAGAGAGAGAGAGAGAGAGAGAGAGAGAGAGAGAGAGAGAGAGAGAGACTGCCACAGTAGGGAGCCACGGAGAATAAGGTATCGGGAGATGGCAAGAAAAGGCAGAATCATATACAGGCTGGTGCCTGGTCTCGGCTCCTGGGCCTGAAGTGGGGTCAGAGATGAGAGAGGCCGAGTTTGGGGATGAAATTGTGACCTCAGGTAAGACAAAATACTAAAAAGCAGAAAAACAGAAAGCAAAACAAAATGCTGGGATGCCAGTGGAGGCCGGTTCCAGAAGGAAGCAGCAGCTGAGTCTGCAGTTAGATGGAGAAAGGGGACGCCGAGATTCCTTACAAGGCTTGGGTGGTGGTGGGTGCAGCCAGAAGAAAGGGGAGCCCCACGGATGAGCACCTCTCAAATCCAGCCGGTGTCTTTCTTGAAAATAAACTATTCCAGGGAGTGGGGATAGGGCCACCCAAAGCATCTTCACCCGTGTTCAACAGGATGGTGGCGAAGGGCATGACACTACCGGCATCAGCTTCCTCTCAGCCCAGGGTCCACACACAAATGTTCTACCTTTTATTCCTCACACTTCCATTTCCTGAGCACTGTGTGCTCACCGTCCCTGTGCAAAGTGCTTTCCGAGCCTCATCTAATCCTCATGGCAACTTCATGAGGGGGGAACTATCACCTTCAGCTTGCAGATGAGCAGCACCGCCCCGCCACCTACCACCACCTCTGTCCCCTGGTCCCTCCACAGCTTCAGTTCTTGCTGAGCCTAGACCTGCACAGGCTCAGCTGGGTTCAGAGCCAGGTTGATTGGATGCAAATCCCTGCTCCTCCCTTAATTGCTTTGTGGCCCTGGGCATGTTCCCTGGCCCTTCTGAGACCCAGTCTCCTCACCTAAGGACAAAATGGGGAACATATTACAGTGATAGCCACTCCTGGGCATTTGTGAGAGTCTTCTGGGAGAAAGCAGTGGTTCTCAGTGCTGACACGGTGACAAACGGCATTTCTCAGAGTTGTGAGGCGTGTGGCCAAAAATTTATAGCTATTGTTAAACCAGGGAAGGTGATGGTTTGTTGTCCTAGTATAAATAGCGAATTCAATGTTTTCTCTGCGATGACATCACTAGCATTCCACAAAGCCTTCCTGAATGGGAGATGAAGGATCTAATCCCCTGGGAATTTGCCCATAGGCTGCAGCCTATCTGATCTGTGCCACAGTCTGTGAGAGCACAGCAAGCAAACAAATACAGCCTCTCCCAAGGTGTGGCGTGGCGTGGCATGGTGTGGAGCCAAGGCTGACAGCCATGGCTATGGAGCACTGGCAGGGGGCCTGGCCCCTAGTGGGTGCTTCTTGGAAGAGGGAGCCTTGGAGAAACAGGGGAGCGAAAGGGGAGAAAATAAAAGCTCTGGTTATAAACCTGTGTCCCTCAGGCACAGGGTCCTGACTTTCTCCTCCTAGGGAGACAGAGATAACCCTAAAGTAGAAAGGGGGAGAGGGGCAAGGAAGGCTGATGGGGTTGGAACCTAGTGCCAGGCTGGCCCGGGGTGCCTCAAATTCCCCCTGGGGAGACACAGGGTCTGATTGGGAAGCCTTGGGGTGAGGGTAACATCTAAAGGTTAGAAACTGTGGGTGGGGCTGGGCATGGTGGCTCACAAGCCTGTAATCCCAGCACTTCCAGGAGGCCGAGGCTGGGGTCTTGGGAGATGGCAAGAAAAGGTGGAACCATGAGGTCAGGTGAATCACTTGAGGTCAGGAGTTCGAGACCAGACTGGCCAATGTGGTGAAACCCCATCTCTACTAAAAATGCAAAAATTGGCTGGGCGTAGTGGTGGGCACCTGTAGTCCCAGTTACTCGGGAGGCTGAGGCAGGAGAACTGCTTGAACCCGAAGGCAGCAGTTGCTGTGAACTAAGTGGCGTCACTGCACTCCATCCAGCCTGGGTGTCAGAGCCTGACTCCGTCTTAAAAAGAAAACTATGGGTAGTGCACTCATGTCTGGGTCAAGGATAGGCACTGGAGACAACATGACCCCAAACTGACTGGCCCAAGGTTACCCACCTAGAAAGGAGGCTCTACCACCAGTCCCTCCCAGGCGTGTAGTTTGCAGGTGCTTAGGACCCATCAACAGCCGCCGCCACCAACTCACTCCTGCTCATTCCCCAGCTTTCCACTCTCCTCACCACTGCAGCCCCACCCTCAGCCCCTACACAGGTCCCGCCAACTCCAACACAGACCACCTCGTCCCAAGCCTGCCTGAGGGCCTCTCACCTGGAGACAGCTGCCCTTGCCAGGATTCATGGTGGTGCCAGCAGCCAGCCCCACTCTCCTAGAGAAGCTGTTCTGGCTGTAGAGGCAGACCTAGCCAGAGGTAGTAGGCAGGATTATCCAATTCCATTGGCTAGAAAGGGCCTTACCTCCCCGTGGACACTGTCTACATACTCTTCATTCAGCTGTGAGATCCTATCCTCACCTCAATTCCAACCCACCCTCCCCTAAACCAAGTGAGAATGGGGATGGGGAGGAAGCTGAAGACAGGGGTTCGCACTGCAAACTCTCATCTCTGCCCTCCTTCCGGCATCACTCACTGCCCTTTGCCCAGTACTCCCCGCTTCCCCACAGTGGCACAGTGGTCCCAGACACCGCCAGAGTCCATTCAAAAAAGACAAATTCTTTATTTAAATCAACAAACTCATCTTCCTCAAGCCCCAGACCATGGTAGACAGCCCTCCCTCTCCATCCCCTCACCCTACCCCTTAGCCACAGTGAGGGGAATGGAAAATGAGAAGCCATGAGGGCCTCTGCCAGGGAAGGCTGCCCCAGATGTGTGGTGAGCACAGTCAATGCAGCTGTGGCTGGGGCAGCAGCTGCCACAGGCTCCTCCCTATAAATTAAGTTCCTGCAGCAGCCACAGCTGCGGGAGAAGCATGCTTGCAGAAGCAAGGCGAGTCCAGCATCAGAAAGCGGAGGCAGCATCACTGACGCCCAGCCATGCATGGATGGAGGGCACAGAGCTCAGGGACAGAGCAGGCCAGGAGAGAGGAGAGGCATGGTGGTGGGGGTGCTGAGGCCCCTACATTTTGGTCCCAGGGGAAAGGAAGAGCCCAGTTGGTCCAGTTTTGATGGGTATGGGGTAGGGAATGTATTAGTAAGCTAGGGGAAGGGGCTGCCAATAGGCACCCCAGAGGTGACAGGACAGGCTGAACCCCCACCCTAACAGAAGGGAGCTTGAGAGCTCTGGGGCTCTCTGGGAATGTCACTGCTAAAATATATATCTACATATATATTAACCATTCGTGGGAGGGCAGGGGCAAGGCCTGGGGTGGGATCAGAGGATCTGGCGCGGCATCCCGTAGCCGGTCATGCCTGCCTGAGACGCCCCACGGTTGGTGCCCATCTGTAACCCGATCACGTTCCTGCCCTCTTGCAGCTGGTTGTCCGAGAAGTTCCGAGGATTCTCCTTGGATTTCCTGCATGGCAAGGGAGAGCTGGTTAGGAGGAGGTCACAGGCTACCCTAGTAAATCCCTTCCCTGGACAGAGCGCAGGCTTTGCTGTTGACTCAGGACTGGTGCCAGCTCTGCCCTCAAGAGCCATAAGCTCTCTGAAGCCACCGCCTCATCTGTCCAAAGGGACAATCACTTGCCATGCCAGAGGGTATTGTGAGGATTAAGTGAGATGAGGACTGTTCTGAAAGTGCTTTGTAAAGGGCCAGCTGCTACTGAGATTGCTTATTTCCCAGGGACAGGGCTGGGCACCTGCTGGACCCTGAGGCTGCCCCAGCAATACTTACTTAGGGAACCAATTGGGATCCCCAGAGAAGAGCCCATCATCCCGGGCTACTGCCAGCCCACCCAGATTCATCAGCGTCCGCTGCACACAGGCCATGTTCTTTCCTGGGAAGGAGAATGGGAATGTGTCAGCCTCCACAGGATCCCAGATGCCAGGATTCCACCTCTATCACTAAGTCAGCAGGCCTAGCTTCCTAATTATTTTTACAATTCATTTCCATACCCTTCTCCATATTCCAGCCCACAATATGACCAAGTCCTCCATGAAACACAAACACACCCCTCTTTCTCCTCAGGGAGACAGAAAACAGTCCCTTCTCCCCGGTCAAGAGGGCCCAGCCCCATCTCTGGTCTCCTGGATGACAGGCCCCAGACCCTGGCCCTGTCCCACCTTCCCAGAGATCCACGGTTTGGAAGATGTCGGTGGTGTTAATGCCATAGCGCTCAGCTGCCTGCAGGAACTGAGAGATCTGCTCCATCTGCTTGAAGGCCATGGTGGAGGCCTGGATCTTCTTTACAGGGGCCTGCCCCTCGGGGTACAGCGCATTAATGAGCTCACAGAGCACCTGGATGAGGACAGCAAAGGTGAGAGCGTGCCTACCTACCGCAGCTCAGCATGCACCACCCTCAGAATCAGAGACAAGGACCCAGAGGGGCTCCTGTCCTGCCTGAAGACAGCTTGGACTCTTTCACTAGGGTAAGCCTCAGGGTCCTTCTCGCCAGCCTCCTTCCTCCAAGCCCAGAGTGAAAGGCCAGTTTTTAGTCTTTCCTTGCTAATATACTCTCCCCCAGCTCTCTCCTGAGAGCATTCACCCTTACCCTCCACTCCATGGGAAGGGAGGAAAGCATGAGCCCTCTCACATCCTCGACAGAGACCTTCAGGCTGAGGAAGAAGCTGGGACTTGTGTGCTCTCAGCCTTCCCCTATGCAGGTTAAACTATCCCCAGTCCGCTGGGCCCAGGCCTGCTCTGCCTGCACTTCTAAGCCAGTGGGGCCCAGCTCTCACCGTGCCATCCTTGAGCCAGTTCTGGAAGTTCTCCCGCCCAGGCTGGGGCCGGCCCACATCCTTTCGGCACTGGGTGGTGATCCACTGGATCAGGATCTGCTCCAGGTCTGCGTCATATTGCTTTTCAATCTTCTGCTGCACCTCCCGGCTCAGGCCATATGCAGGTCCCCTGTTGGCCATTCCAATGGGTGGCGGTGGCTGTGGGAAGCTAGGGAGAGGACACACCCGGGCCTTCCATCAACACCTTGCAGTCTGGGGAGTGGGGAATTCAGGAATTCTGCCTGCCATATCCCCCAGGGTGAGCCCCAAGGGTGAGAACCAGAAATGCTGCCAAATGCAACCCTGCTCTTTATGTCCCTGGCAAAGAGAATGATTTGGGGAGAGGAGGGAGAATGTGCAACAGTTTGGGAACCTGGTTGGATCTACTCTCACTCAACCTCTGGGTGTTCTTTGCTTCTTTTTTTCAACCATCTAGGTTGGTGCAAACCACTGGATTTTAATTGAGCACCTACTATTTGTGCTAGGGATTGTGAAAGAGAAAGAAGTCGCTGGTCCTCAAGTACCCACAGTGCCATCAGAGAGACACAGTGAATACACATGAACAGGTAAGGAGTGCACACAAAGAATATTGAAGTGTACAGTTCAGATCACGTGTTGTAAGAATTAAAAGAAGCAGATGGGCAGAAGCAGCCTGGGAAAGCTTTCTGGAAGAGGCAGGCCTGAATAGGTCCTTGTGGGATTTCAGCAAGCAAAAGAAATTGCCTACGAGAAACCAGGCAATAAAAACAAATTCTAGGGCAGGGCCCGGTGGCTCACGCCAGTAATCACAACACTTTGGGAGACCAAGGCAGGTGGATGATCACAAGGTTAGGAGATCGAGACCATCCTGGCTAACACAGTGAAACCCCGTCTCTACTAAAAATACAAAAAATTAGCCAGGCATGGTGATTCGTGCCTGTAGTCCCAGCTACTTGGGAAGCTGAGGCAGGAGAATTGCTTGAACCGGGGAGGTGGAGGTTGCAGTGAGCCAAGATCATACCACTGCATTCCAGCCTCAGCAACAAGAGCAAAACTCTATCTCAAAAAAAGAAAAAAAAAAAAAAAAATTCTACTTTCCCTTCTCGGAGCTACAATAGGCAGAATCATGGCCCCTTAAAAGGTATCCATGTCCTAATTCCCAGAACCTGTGGATATGTTACCTTACATGACAAAAAGGGACTTCATAGATGTGATTAGGACCTTGAGATGGGGAGATAATCCTGGATCATCCAGATGAGCCCAGTGTAATCACAAGGGTCCTTACTAACTGAAAGTGGGAGACAGGTGAGTCAGAATGGGGGAAAGAGACAATGAAAGCAGAAGTTGGAGTCACACAGGGTCAAGAACCAAGCAATGCAGGTGGCCTCCAAAAGCCAGCAAAGGCAAGGAAACGGATTCGCCCGAAACCCCCTAGAAGGAACACAGCCCTGCCGACACCTGCATTTTAGCCAGTGAGACCCCTGTTGAAGTCTGTAGAACTGTAAGATACTGTATTTGTGTTGCTTTAAATCACTAAGCTTGAAGGAATTTGTTACAGCAGAAATAGGGAACTAATCCAGGAGCCCTGGGTGATATTTCTGGGGAAACCTCGGAAGAGAGGGCAGGATGGGGAAATACACAGGAGGGTTTCTTTAACTTACTTGGAGGACCTTGATTAGCAAGAACTGGGTGGTTTCCCAACCACCAATGGCCCGAGTCGGCCAACCTCACTATGGCAGTGTGTGCCCATCCAACACCTCACCACCTGGGTCTGACACTCAGAGGCTGAGCAAGATCCAGGTATGCTACTGATGCCAAGGGGAGCCAAGAACCGAGAAGGGGCACAGTCCCCATTTTCTGTCCCATCCTCACCCGGGTTTGGTCTTTCTTCTCCAAAACTGAGCTAGCTGTCAGGCTGCTCATGAAAGGGGACCCCCAGGACAGGCATCTTCATTCAAGGGAGGAAAGAGAGCCACCCCTTCTTTATTTTTGAGATGGAGTCTTGCTCTGTCGCCATGCTGGAGTGCAGCGGCGCAATCTCGGCTCACTGCACCCTCCGTCTCCCAGGTTCAAGTGATTCTTCAGTCTCAGCCTCCAGAGTAGCTGGGACTACAGGCGCGTGACACCAAGCCCAGCTAATTTTTACATTTTTAGTAGAGATGAGGTTTCACTATATTGGCCAGGATGGTCTTGATCTCATGCCCTCGTGATCCGCCTGCCTCAATCTCCTAAAGTGCTGGGATTACAGGCATGAGCCACCTCGCCCAGCCAGAGCCACCTCTTCTAACCACATCTGGCTCCAGGCCAGGTCAGCCTTCAGGGATGAAGTCACTCTGGCTCCCCCTCTCCCACACACTCAGGTTAAAACAGTCCCACCACCCCCTCAGTAGGCCTTGGTGCTCTGCAAAATACAAGGGGACCAGCGTGCCTCAAACCCTCAACACGTCTCAGTCACAGAAGCTGTGTCGCCGGCCAGTCCCTCCCAGTCCAACTCCAACATGGCTGCTTCTTTCTACCCCAGCTTATCCAGCTGCACACTTCCGTCATCTCCTCCCCAAAATCAGTTATTTTTAAACCTCATTAAGAGCAACTCACCCCCCTCCACTTCCCCCAGCCCGAAAGCTGGGTCAGATAAGTGTCAGTCTGGGCCTTGACCCACAGTGCCAGGCACCCACACCATCAGCTGGGGGAAGGCAGGCGGGGTGGGGTGGCTGAGGTCTGAAGACAAAGCAAGACAAGTGGCCCTGCCCTCCCCTACAGCCACTCCACCACAGAAACCTCTAACCTCCGAGGCACGGGGAATGGCTGGAAGACAGGGAGGATGAGGAAGGGGCTAAGGGCTACTACCACCGGCAAGCCCCCTTTCTGCAGCCCAGGTTCACACCTCTCTTCTGCGAGTGGCTGTGCTCTAGTCACCTGGGTCTCTCGGACAGTGTTTCCAGGGACCAAGTGGCCTGAGGCTCAGGGATTAGCATGGCACAGGTAAAGAAAGCGCAGGACAATGATTAACCTAGACACTGGGGATAAGAGCAGAGAAGAGACTGAAGCCAGACCCTTCCAGGGCCCCCAACCCCCAAGGCAGTACAAACTTGGCCTCCCAGACCCACCATCACTGGGTGGAAAGTGGATGCTGGGGCCCCCCCCGCCTCCACTCCGGGCCTGGACGCAGCTGGCAGGGTCACGGCCTCCAGCTGCAGTGTGTCTGCTCCACTCCGGGCCACTGCCCTCCAGCGCTGAGGTGCCAGAGCCGCAGGGCGGAGTCCTGAGAAGGGGCAGTTCCAGCCAGGCCAGCAGCTGTTTCTCCTCCCCACCCCCACGGGCAGGCAGGAGCTGATGGGCTGCCGCTGCTGGAGCCGGGAAGATCCAGCCCAGGGACCCCCAGGGGACCTGCCCCTGCCCTCCCTAAATCATAAAGAAAATAGCAAGCAAGTTTCCTACCAGGGTGGGGAGAAGAGATATGCCCAGCTGCAGGACAGGTGTGGGGGACCCCCAGAGCTGGGGAGCCCAAGGGAAGGCGTCGGCTGAACAACCTGGGGGATGGGCTGGCAGCGAGCAGTCTAAACCCTAGCGCTACAGCAGCCGGAGAACAACCCTCACCCTCACCCTGGAGTTACAATAGGCGGGAAACGGGGAGGGGCCACGCCAGGCACTCGGCCCCACCCAGACCCTGGGCTGGAAGCTTACCTCACCAAAGCCAAAGCCAAGGCAAAGGCGGACACGGGTGGGGGAGGGGAGACTTCAGGGTTCTTGGCGAGGGTGTTTAATTGGGAAGACAAAGGGACTCCCATCCTCCGTGCAGATGGGACACGGGGGAACTTCCCAACTCGGATTTGGGGCAGAGACTGTTCTCAAAGAGTACAGTGAGGGCACCAGCCCGCTGAGCGAGGTGCCACAGGCAGCCGCAAGGATGGGGGGCGGCCCACTGTTAAGGGAACCAACGTAGGGCAGCCCCTCACCACCAAGAGTCAGGAGCAGAAGAGAAAGCTGAGGCCACACAAACAGGAAGCTCCAAGACTTGCGTGGGAGGAGGGATGAGGTGGGGGCCGTTGCCATGGCTTCTGTATACCAAACACAGTGTTGGAGGCTGGGTGGGGGCCCCGGGCAGAAACACCCCGCTGCACACAGACATTGTGGTGAGCCGGCTGTGAGTACGGGGGCAGAAGTGGGGTCGTCCCAGCAGTTCCCCGGTCTAGCCAGGTGCAAGGGATTCCTCCAGGAGGCAGCTACAGTGGGAACCGACAGCATGTGGGGGAGATAAGAAATGACCCGCGTTGGGGAAGAAGCAGGCGCAGGAAGCAGCAGTTAGGAGAAGAAACGCCCTGGGAAGGGCAAGCGTGTTCTGAGCTAGAGAACCCACAGCTCAAAGTTCTGGAGGGAGAAGGATGGAATGAAAAAGGATTGTGGGGGGAGTCTGGCGGGGAGGAGGGCCAGGGCAGAGGCCTTGGGGTGAGGAAGGGAGTTGCTGTTGGACAAAACCTATTTGTTGGTTCTGGAATGGTAGGGCCCCTGCTGGGCCCGCCCTGCCTTGGCCTCCTCTGCAGTGTTAGGTCTCCGCGGCAGTGGGGAGGAGAAACCGGGAGGGGGCTGGAGACAGAGCGCTATCGCTGCCTAGTGCTCTGGAGTTAAAGAGGAAACTGCGGGGAGTCCCGTCCCAGCCACAGGTCTACTACCTCGGATCCCACACTCCATCCCCACTCTCACCCCGTTTCTCTCTGCCCCACGGATACCAACTGCGCACAGAACTCCCAGGACACCGGCTCCAGGTGGCCCCGGGAGGCCCGCGGCGCGGGAGGAGGCGGCAGTTCACTTCCGCTCCTGCAGGTCCTGCCCACCAGCCGCCGCCCCCACCCCCACGACCACACCCTGGGCCGTTACAACACATGAGTCACCCACCGCCCTCCCACCGCTGGGGTGACGCAGTGGTCTGGGCAGCCCGCCCGCACGCCCGCGGCCACCACCGGCTTTCCCAGCAGCAGGGGGCACCCGGTGTGGGCAGCGGCGCTCCGACTGGGGTAAAAGCCGCCATCCGTACCCCCCCCAACCTCACCCAGGCAGGGCACCCCGGGGCGCAATCAGGGCTGCAGCACTCAGACCCCCGAGGTCCGGAGACTGTCACAGAGATGACTGGAGCTTCACAGAAAGTCACCGTGCGACCCAAGCACAACCCTCCACCCCCCAGCCCGTGACCTCGAGTCCCCAGAACAGCAAGCTGGCAGGAGCAGGAATGCAAAGGGCGGCCTCGGGGACGCAGAAGGCACGCAGCGCCCACACGTGCTCCTGGAACCAGGAAGTGAAGGGTCGCGCGGGAAAGCCCGGGAGCACGAGCTGAGCCAGGGCCGGCGCCGGGCCCCGGGGTCACTCGGGGCCAGCCAGCTAATGTCCGACGCCCTTTTTTCCCCTCGTCCCATTGAGGACTCTGCGATGGAGCCCGCGGGTGGTACTCAGTCCCCGAGTCCCTGCTCCGGACGGACGCCCCGTCTGTGCACAGGCTAACCTCGCCTGACCACGTCGTCCAACAATGTCGGGTCAGGGCTTGGGGACAGGACCTGACAGCATGGGGATGGGCAAAGCAGTCACCGCACGCTTGCCTGGTGGCAGTCCTTGATCTGGAGCTCGCTGGAGCAAGTCCAGAGCGCTGGCTTCTTGCTTTCTACAGACTACGCACATCCCCCCGACTCCCGTCCCCCTCGAGCTGCTCACCGTTCGAGCCGGCTGGAGAGCTGCGCACTCACTCAACGCAGGGGCTGCAGCTGCAAGTGATGCGCCCTGCCCAGCCGGGGGTTTTCAGGAGGGTCCGCCTCAGACGGGGCGGACCCGGGGCGGGGCAAGGGCCAAGAAGGTTTAAAGGCGCCGCAGCGCAGAAAGAGGGAGGACTGCTTGAGGGAGAGGGACAGAACAAGGGTTAAAGGTTCGGGGAATCTGGACCTACAGAGGCAGCTGCAGTGGTCTCCACCCTGGAGAACCTCAGCCTCCACCGGGAGCCCGTAGACTTGTGCCACAGTAGGAAACTTTCTGCCTAGAAAGTTAGCTAAAGGCTGTGGGCGTGTTTATGTGGGAAGAAGCCTCCTAGTTTAGAGGCTGGCAAGGTAAACGAAAGCACAGGAAGACCTTCTCCGACCCCAACTGACTAGTGTGTGACAGGACTGGGACTTGCAGGCCGGGACAGCACCCCCACGTGATCTTGCTCCCCTCTTACTTCAAGCCTGGGCAGCGACTAACAGTGAGGTCACTCTTTGCCCAGGGCCCTAGGGGCGTGGTCGGTGTTGGGACCCAGGGTTCAGACCTGTCTTCTCCCCACCTTTCATCCCCTCTTCTATGACCTGGTATCTCTTCCTAAATCCTGGAGGGATCAGAGGGGGAGGCCTCAGCGGGAGGAGGCTAGCCGGGGTTCTTTTGCCTCTGAGGGTGAAGGATAGCTAAGTTCAGGGGTAGAGAGCTCCAGATCCTTTCACGCTTCTGTTGAGCAAATTCCCCCCGCCCCCCGTGAAGTCCTGGTTACAGCCTTCATGGAGTTCTTCACACAAGATACAGCCCTCCCTTGAACCTGAGATTCCAGGATGTCGATATCCAGTCCCACCCAACTTTTCTATTCTGTTCCGTCCCTGACTACCCAGCCCTATATTCCAATCCCACTGATTGTCAAGCGTTCTCACTCCTCTGTGCCTTTACAAAGGCTATTCCTCTGCCTAGGATACGTTCCCTTCCTTAACTGGCTTCCCACTTGCTCTTCCCTTTACCTGCTGTGTGGCTGTTGTGCATATTACTAAAGCATTCTATACTTCAGTTCCTTGCTTTATAAAACAGAGTTAATGGGACTGCCTAACTCAAGAATTGTAGAGAACTAAAACAGTCCACCTATAGGGCTTAGAGCAGTGCGTGGCACAGAGTGAATGCTATTATTATTTTTTGACGGAGTTTCGCTCTTTTGCCCAGGCTGGAGTGAATTGGCGTTATCTCAGCTCACTGCAACCTCTGCCCCCTCGGTTCAAACGATTCTCCTGCCTCGGCCTCCCAAGTAGCTGGAATTACAGGCACCCACCACCACACCCAGCTAATGGTTATATTTTTAAGAGAGACAGGGTATCACCATGTTGGCCAGTCTGGTCTCGAACTCCTGACTTCAGGTGATCCACCCACCTCGGCTTCCCAAAGTGATAGGATTACAGGTGTGAGCCACCACGACTGGCCACTATTATTATTATCACCACCATCTGTGAGGGTCCTGAGGACCCCCCCCCCCATATGTGGCGTTTGTCCCAGCACATGATGTAAGCCTACACTAAATGTGGCCTTGAATGTAACTCCTTCCTTTGTGCCACCACAATAACCAACACATAGCTTTATCACAGAACTTGTCATGTTATACTGTAACTATTTCTTTGTCTGCCTCACTGAGTAGAAAGAACACCCCAAGGGCAAAGGCATGTCTTCAACAATTTTGTATTTTCTCAGTATCTAGTTCAATGGCTGGCCTTTAGCAGCTGGCCTCAGTAAGCACTCAATAAATGCTTCTTGAATGAATGCTGAATGCACCTTCATTCATTCGAGAAGATTCCCCTTCTCTTTAAGGGTCCACAGATTTTCCCAGGACTCTCTCAGATTCAAAGAGATAACACACAGAAACATCTTTCAGACTTTGTTTATTCACCTGTAAAAAACTTCACCCACACCACGAACACATACACACACACACACACACACACACACACACACACACAGAGAGAGAGAGGGCAGACCTAAGATCCCTGTTCCAATTCCCAGAATCACCTAGGGGTTCAGCACATACATTCCATACCAAGGTGACCCAAGTCCACTATCAGGATCTGTGCCTGGGCACCAAAGGGGCAGGGGCAGTGCCCTAGGTTGAAGCTAGGTCTGGTTGGGGGCCTCCTATGCAGGTCCATTTGCCTTTTCCCAGCCTCGTATTGGGGTGTTCACAGCAGAGTGGCCTGTTCAGGGTGGGGGACTGGCTGTCGATAGGCCGGCAGCCGAGCCCTAGTAGCATCTCGGCGGCGGCGGAAGGCCAGGAATTCCTCCCGAAGGGCAGCACAGCGGGCCTCAGGGCCAGTAACAGGGGCAGTGTTCAGGAGGCAGCCCTCCTCTGGAGTCTTCACACCTGCAAGAGGTGGGCAGGGCAATGAGAGAAGAGGCCCTGAGGTTCACTGAGTGAAGAGCTGAGATGTAAAGCTCACTAGGTCCTTCCAGTACACATGGGCCAAGGGGGCAAGACACAGTCTAGAGCAGAGGAGCCTGGGAGGCAGGGCCTGACTGGGAACAGATGGGTCCTAAGGTGGCAAGGGGGATGTGGGACAGCGTGGCTGAGGTGCCTGCCTTTCCAGGGGGCTCACACACCTAGCTCTGGCTCAGCTTCATGTCTGAGCCGGGAGCTGGCCAAGCCCAGGTGTAAGGTCTCCAGCAATTCCACGTCCCCAGGGAATTCTGAGTCCCACTCATAGTTCTCATCCACAGATGTGTTCCTCCTGTTAAAAAAGAAAAATGTATGGTGTGGGTGGAGGAATAGAGGATGTTCAGGAAAGTCTGAACTCAGGGACCCCAAATGCACATTAGGCCATGGGTTTCCCCTGAACTAAATCCCTGGACCTCAGCGAAAGCTTTTAAAAGGAGATGAGGTTTCTGTGGGAGTGCAGCAGAGACGGTTCAGGGTATTGGGAGATGGGTGAGAAGGTCTGGGGTGGGACTGGGACCGAGGCAGGGATGGGCGGGGACTGCTCTCACCTCTTGCTGACTGTCACCACATGCTCCCTTCGGGGCCACCTCTCAGGGCCACTGGCCCAGCTGCTGGTGTCTCCTGGAGCAGGGCTCAGGTAGCTGCCTCCTGCAGAGGGAGCTGTGGAGGGGGGCCGCAGGAACGAAGCGCTGCCTCGCCCGCTGCTCTGGCTGGTGAGGCTGCCCCGAGGGGCGGCAGGGAGAAGGCCTGGCAGCAGCCGCTCCCTCAGTGTCCAGTCAGCCAGGGCTGTGTAAGGGGGCTCTGCAGCTACCCCAGCCCCTACCACATCCCCAGGAAGTGATGCCCTGGGGGACATAGGAGGGGTGTCTGGGGGACGTAGGAAAGATGAGGTGGGGCAGGGCCGGGTATCCATGTAATCTGGGGGTGCAGCAGGGCTGGGATCCTCCAGAGGGGGCCAGTCCCCATCCACATTCATCTCCCGGAAGAAGGGCAGGCTCAGGTACTGGAGCAGGGGCCCGGGACCTGGCAGGGGACTGGGTGGGGCTGCTGGAGGGGCTGCTACAGGGCTGATGTCTTCAATGCAGAGGGGCTGGGGTGCCCCACTGGGGCTGCTGCTGCTACAGTCAAAGGACCGGGCCAGACGCTCGGCTGGTGTCCGAGGTTCTGCCTGCTCCGGGCCTGACCTTTCCCGGGGGGCCACCACAGTGGGCCCCATCACAAAGCGCCCATCTGGGCCCCGGCAAATGGGCTCCAGGGGTAAGGGTCCCCGGCTAGGTGGAGGATCTGGGTGGGGGCTGGGAGTTCCGGCAGGATCCCCCCAGAGCAGACTCTGGCGCAGGCTGGGGACTGGGGAACCCTGGAGCTTCAGCTTCGCCACGCTGTCAGGACTGCCTGAGCCCAGAGCAGAGCTGGGGAAGGACAGGAGATCAGGGTCTGTGGTAGGGGCAGGTCCCCCTCCCAGGAGCCAGCGTCAGGCCTTGAGAGGTTTGGTGAACAACAGAGCAGAGCTAGGGAGAACAAGCGAGGAAAGGACCAACAAGGTGGAGGGGGTGGAGGGAAGACACAGGCCACACTGGACCGGCCTCAGGCTGGGGCCTCTGCGCACCCCTTCTTACCCTCTCCCACTTTTGTTCCTGCCCCTCCCCCACCATCCCCCCAGTAAAGGTGCAAAAAAGGAAGTAGAGGATACTGGCACGCACGATGGAAAGGCAGAAGAAAGCCAACAAGGTGGAGGTACTTACTGTGCAGCTGACTTCCCGGTGGGAGAGAAGATAAGAGGTGGATCTGGAAGGGCACGAGAATAGTAGGTGACACAGGCAAAAACCAAGGCCCTCGGGGCGCAGGCTCCCTCACCCAACACCAGGCGCGCAACCCCATCCGGCTGGGAAGAGCGCGGGCAGGACCAGATGCAGAAGGGGAGAATGCACCTGGATCACACGGGCGGGAGGGATGTTCCCCAGGTGGGAGGGGCTTAAGGAGGGGCAGGGCCCCAGCGCCGGAGGAGGGAGGACGCCGGAGGGGCCTACCTTGGCGGAGGCGCTTGCGGCGGCGCCGGGCAGCCCTGCGCCGGTTCATGAGGCAGGCCGCCAGGATGCTCACCAGGACGGCCACGCCCAGGAAGCAGACCCCGCCCAGCACGCCGGCCAGCACCGGCTGGGGCAGGAGGCCCGGCAGCTGCGTGCGCGACGGGTAGACCTCCAGGCCTGGGCAGGGGGCCACGAGGGAAGGTCAGCGGGCTCACGGCCCCCCGCAAGCCCTGGCGCTCCTCCCTCCCGCCAGGTGCTCACCGAAAGTGGAGACGTTGGCCGTGTTGCTGGGGTCGCTGACGTCGCTGCCCGCGAAGGCCACGAGGCGGAACTCGTAGAAGACATCCTGCGACGGGGATGGGGTGCCAGGAGGGAGGTCAGGGCCCAGCACCGCCCCTCCCAGCGGAGCGCGGAAAGACTGTGCAGGCGGGGCGGAGGGGTGAGGTGGGACGCGGAGGCGAAGAGCTCCAATCAAGATGCGAAGATGGGGTTTGGGGAATGGAGGAGGACGCAGGAGAGCCCCTGGGAGGCCGCTGCCTGTATGGCCTCCCGCACATACCTTGATGAGGCCTGGCACCAGCAGCTCTGTTTCTGTGCCTGGCACAGCCGGGTCCAGCACCTCCCAGCCCTGGGAGCCCTGCCGTCCTTCCAAGACGTAGCCATCCAGTGTCTTAGGGACCAGCTCTGGGGGATCCCAATGCAGGAGTACTCCCCGGGGTGTTCTCACTGCCACCAGACCTCGCGGAGGGGACAGGGGAGGCGGCACCTCTGTCGGGGGAAGCCTGGGCGCAACTGGTGTGGTAGGAAGCCCTGCGTGGGGCAGATAGGCAGGTCAGAGAGGGGATTCCCAGCTCCCTTCCCCTGACCTTCCACGACCCCCAGTGCCCAGCTGTTCTCCCAGAGCCCCTAAAGACAAGCCCAAATCATCTTCCACACACCCCTCTGGACCCCAAGCTGCCCAGCGCTTCTGCCCCTTCCCATCCAGGACCTCCCATATCCCAGCTTTCCTAGCGGCCCTTTCCCATCCTTGTCTCTGCTGTTCTGGGACGAGAAGCCTCTCACCTTCAGGAGCAGACAGGACGATTTCGCTGAAGGGACCACTCCCCAGCTTGTTCTGAGCTAGCACGCTGAACTGGTACTGGGTGTGGGGCTGCAGCCCTGGCACTAGGAGGTGGGCAGCTCCCACAGGCACTGCCAAGGACACCCAGTCATGGTGCATTCGGTCAGGACGCTTGGCTCTGCGAGACATGAAGACGGGGGGCACCTCATGAGCTAGGAAGATCTGGGGTCCACAGATCTAACCAACTCCCCTCTGCTCAACCATCCAAGGTCTCAGGACCTTGGCCCTGAATGTCTCAGAGTCTGGAAACAGGGAAGCAGAACCAGGGTCGGTGAGGGATTGAGGGGCGGAAGAAAGGGCACAAGGCCAGATAGGTTCAAGGAGGAGAGGAGAGGAGGCAAGGTTGGTGCAGAGAAATGGCAGGAGCAAGTCACTCACAGTGGGGTGTACCAGACACTGAATCTCTGCAGATAGCCACCATCAAAGCCAGGCTCCCAGGAGACATTGGCACCCTTGGGCAAAGGCACCACGGACACATTGGTGACAACATGAGGACTAGTGCCTGGGGAGGGGCATGGAGGGAGGGATGGTGGTCAGGGCCTGAGGGAATATAGAAAGCCCCAGGGGCCCCAGGACCACTGACCTTCACCCATCATCCCAGGTCTCCCACACCCATGATCCCCTTTCTGGCCCTCCAAAAATGATTCCCCCATCTCCTGTTCCACGTGGTTTCTCCCAGCCCAGGGCCCTCTCTCCAGCCACTAACCCAGCACGTGGACATTCGTGGATGTGGCCACTCGGGCCACAGCATTGCTGGCACTGCATTCCCAGCGCCCATGGGCCTCCTTGGTCAAAGGTCGCAGGACGAGGCTGCTGTTGCTGTCCACCTGGGCCTGGCCTTGCAGCCCCCGGCCCACCTACAGAACCACTGGTGAGCCCTGAGGACACACGCAGCCACCCCTCACCAAGGGCGCCCCTCATCTCTCCAAGCAGCTCCAGTTCCTCTCCACCCTGCCTCTGACAGCCCACTCCTTCCCGCATCCTCCCTCCCACAAAATGGGGCACATAGTGGGTGCAGGTGTAGGCACAGCAGGCTCAGAAGCCTTACCTTGGCCCAAGAGACAACAGGAGGAGGGTCCCCTCGGGCAGAGCAGGGGATGAGTAGCTCCCGCCCTACTTCTTGGAAGTATTCTTCCTTGGGCCGTTCTATAAAAGCTGGGGGAGCCTGCAAGCCAGATCTGGCATCGGGAGGGGCCCTCTCTTACACTGCTGTCTAAGTCTGGCTACTCCCCGGCTCTGTGATCCCTGTCATGCCATGTCTCACCTCACTCTTCTCACTCCCCCTAACTAAACACACACCAAGCCTGTCACTACCTCATTCTTTCTCCATCTCTCAATTCCTCTCTGGCTCTGTGTCTGTTCCCCATTGAGTAGGGGCTGAAGGGAAATGGTGGTGTAGTAAGGACTGGCAGGCTTGGGCAGGACTCTCGGAAATGTACAAACCTCTGCAGAACATTCTTCCTCCCAGAACCCCAGAGAGGGAGGCAGCACGGTCAAGGTTAGTGAGAGTTGGGCGGACAGGGTATCTTACTGTGTCTGTGACTGATGTCCCACCTCCCGAGCACCACCTCTGCGGAAACCTCAAGGATGGCATCAGGCAGCTGCTGCCATGGCCACCATGGGAGACAGACTTGGGAGCCCCTCCCCATGTGTCTGCCCGGCCCCACCCCCATCAGCCTGGCCATAGCTCCAACTCCAGCCACCTGACCCACTGTCACCACAGGCCCCCGCCCACTCCCAGCCTCACCTTGAGCAGCACGCGGGTCACAGGGGAGGGCCCAGCAGTACCAAGACTGTTGTAGGGGGTGCAGGAGTATTCTCCCAGGGCATCCTCGTTCCCCAGGGCAATGATCAGTGAGCCTTCTGTGCCCTGGGACCAGCCAGGAAACTGGAAGGAAGAGGAGGTGATAGCTAGAGAGAGGAGCTCAGCAAAGGCAAGCCCGGGATGGCAGTACAGGAGACGGAGCAGGACGAAGAAACCCACAGCTGTGCAGAGCACTCCACAGCTCCATGTCTGGGCTTGACCTCTCTGAATGCCAGCACTTCCTTTCTCTCCTTCCTACACAGGGATCCCTCCAAATAGTGTGAGGCTGTGACTGCACAACTCCAGAGGGTGCCACTCCCGGAAAACACAGTGTGGATGGCCGCCCCTGGAGCTGGGCCACACGGGGCTTCCTGCCTGCTGGGACTTCACCTGGCTGTCTTCCCAGCACTCCACAACTACGTTCAGCATATTTCACCAGAAACCAGCTCCTATTTCTCTATTAAAGGGCCCATCAGCGTCTTTACTGAAGTCTGCCTCCTCACGTTCACTCCCCCTAGCGAAATACCAAGCCAGTCATCCCGGGAAGTCCCTTTTGTTTGGGCATGAGCCCATTCATCTTCATGTCCTCCTCTCCAACTCAGACTCCACAACTCTCGCCTGGGCCATTTCAGCAGCCTCAGAACCCCGCTTCCTATGTCCAGTGTCCCCCACGACATTCCACTGGACAAGCTCAGCCCCTGATGATGGCTCTGATGCTGTCACACCAATGCTGAACAAACTCCAGCGGCTCCAACCGCCTGTGGACTTTTTTCTTAAACATTCAACAAGGCCGGGCGCGGTGGCTCACGCCTGTAATCCCAGCACTTTGGGAGGCCGAGGTGGGGGGATCACAAAGTCAAGAGATTGAGACCATCCTGGTCAACATGGTGAAACCCCGTCTCTACTAAAAATACAAAAAATTCGCTGGGCATGGTGGTGCGTGCCTGTAATCCCAGCTACTCAGGAGGCTGAGGCAGGAGAATTGCCTGAACCCGGGAGGCGGAGGTTGCGGTGAGCCGAGACGGTGCCATTGCACTCCAGCCTGGGTAACAAGAGCGAAACTCTGTCTCAAAAAAGAAAAAAAAAAAATTCAACAAAGATGTACTTAGTACTACTGTTGTAGAAGCCCCAGGTACACTATGATGAAAAAATGCAATACTAGGCCTCAAAAAATGTTTAGTCTCTGCAGACAAAAGATCCCAATTGCCTTGGAATGAGGTAATATTAATTTGGTATCCACGGTTCTCCCTTTTAATGCTAACCTGTCCTTCCAGCTTTCTCTGCACCATTCATGTCCCTACAGGCTCTCCAGCTCCCACCCAATTGGTCAATTCATAATTCCATAAACGAATACATTACTTCCTGCCTCTTGGCCCTGGTTTCTGCAATGGAATGACTATCTCCTCTTTGAGCCCGGTCACCAAAGTCCCAGAATCTGTTGCCGGTCTATCCTCACCCACCCTAAGAGGAAGGCATGAGCTCCATCCCTGGCCTTCCAGCAGTGTCTATGTTGCTGTCCTCTGCCCAGACAGTGCCCACTTTAAGGATGGATGCCTCCTTGCCCCTGCCTCCTTCACAGCACCGGGTAACAAGTGTGTGTTCCCCCAGGACACACAATTCCCCAGTCATCAACCTTCAGTTCTGCTTTTTAACTATTTGCCATCATTCTCCCCAGAGATCATCTCTCACCTTTTCCCCAAAGACACAAAACCAGCACCTTAAACCATGGAAATTTTCCTCAGGGGTTTTAAGTAGTTTCCTATGCAACGTGTCTTTTTTTTTTTTTTTTTATTCTTGAGATGGAGTCTAGCTCTGTTGCTTAGGCTGGAGTGCAGTGGTACCATCTCGGCTCACTGCAACCTCCACCTCCGAGTTCAAGCGATCCTCCTGCCTCAGCTTCCTGAGTAGCTAGGATTACAGGAGCCTGCCACCATGCGCAGCTAATTTTTGTATTTTTAGTAGAGATGGAGTTTCACTATGTTGGTCAGGCTGGTCTTGAACTCCTGACCTCGTGATCCAGCCACCTTGGCCTCCCAAAGTTCTGGGAGTATAAGTGTGAGCCATGGTACCTGGCCGTAACACGTCTTATAAGACAAATTAAATTCACAAAATATGTGTGCCACCAGTCACTGAATTGAATTAAATAGAGCTAACACTCCACCCAGCTGTCCTGAGCAGACTAACACCAAGTTAAGACCCTCCTTCCCCTTCCCCAAGCCTGTACCTTGTCCAGCTGCAGGGCCCTTCCATCCTTGGTCCAGCTGACAAAATGCAGTGGGGGGTTGGCGCGAACCGGGCAGTGGATCACCCCCGGCATGCCTATGGGCAGGAGTGTCTCAGGAGGCATAGTTGTCACCTGGGCTGGGTCTGGGGGAAAGTAGTGGCAAGTTGGGGGAGAGGGGCTTGGCCTGGCCCAGGGGAAGGGAGCAGGCTGACGGAGAGGCTGGGGCCAGGCTTACAGAGCACGGTGAGGTAGGCAGAGGCTGAGGGTGGATGCAGGAGGCCATTGCTGGGCACACAGGTGTAGCGGCCGGCATCGTCAGGCTGAGTAGCCTGCAGCCTCAGGCTCCCGTCCACCAGGATCCGCACCCGGGACTGCAGGCGGCTGCAATGTGGCGTGTGTGAGGAGGGGTCCAGGCCTTGCCCAGCCAAGCGGCTCCTCAGAGACTGTCTGCCAATTCCCCACCTCCACCCTCCTAACGATGGTGACCCCACCTAATGTGGAAGACATTGGTGTTGTCCTGGAACCAGCTATAGGTGAGGTTAGCAGGGTATGCCTCAGCGTGGCAGGCCAAGGAAACATCCTGGGAGGCATTGACTGTGCTGTTCTTGGGGGGCACCACGATGACTGGTGGTCCTGTGGGGTGCACAAGGGGAGGAAGGTGGCCTCAGCCAACAGTATTCCTAGAACCCTGAGGTCACCTCTACAACTCTTCCCAGCCCTGCCCTCTGGAATCGTAGGGCTCATTGGTATGGGATTTTGGGGAATGGAAACAGAAGCTTCCCCCTGTATGTAACAAGAATTCATCCTCTCCCTGAGACCCATTCCTCTTTCCAAATTCTCTCTGTTCCGTCAAGAACAACCCCATTCATGCAGTCCCACTGCCTGGAACAGTGTGGATGTTTGGGGGAGTCAGTTTAACTGCTCATTTGCCATTTGTATCCCTGCCTGTCACCTCTTGAATAGCTTCTCTGTCTCTGACCCTAACCCAGGTACTCAAGGTGCTGCAGCACCCCCTGACTCCAGGCTCCCCTGTGGCTGCCACTCTAATGGCCATTCCTACAGAAACAGACCCTTGTGCCACAGAACATTTCTGCTCAGAAACCTGCAACGGCACCTGACTCCTACCACACTAAGCTCAAACCCAGCCCTGTGGACCTCTGCGATCCAACCCCTCCCTACCTGGCCAGCCATCTTTCCATATGTCAGCCCTCATGAACTCTTTCAGGTCAGTGTGGGCAGCTGGCTGTCCCCCATCTCCATGCCTTTGCTCCCCTCAACCCCGGCCAGAATGCCCCTCCCAAGGTCCTGGCCACGCCACATACCTCCTGCAAAAGCATCTCTGGCTACTACAGCTCCACTACTCTTTCCCTGCTCTGGGCGGGTACTGCATGAGCAGTCAGTAAGAAGAGGCATGATGCAAGCTGACGCAAACAGCACTGACTGCATACCCCGCACTGAGTGCCACCTGCATGACCTTGTTTAATCCTCACCAGAACCTTTGCGGGGGAAATTGTCTCCATTTTATAGATGAAGGAATGAAGGCTCAGAGGCAGAGAGACTGTGAGGTGAGTGCCCAAGGACAGCAGGAGAGGCAACATTCATATGAGGCTTCCTGATGCCAGAGACGACACCTTTAACCATTACCCAGCACTGCCATTCTTAGAGTACCACGGACAGCAACACTTCCCTGTTTCCCCAGTTAGTCTTATTTCCCCACAAAGATAATAGGCTCTACAAAGGCATAGTCCAGGCCTTCTATTTCTCAGCTTCTAAAGGAAGGATCTTGGCCAGGAATTACCATGTGCCACCAACTGGGCTCAGCTGGACCTACGTAAATTCTTGTAACAGACCTGAGAGGTAGATGTAAGTCTCTTTATAAAGATGAAGAAACTGGGACTCAGGGAGTTACCCAGCTCACAGCCTAACACAAACACCTATGTCCTGTCCACTATAACACACTACTGGGCACGAAAGCGCACTCTGTCTGCTTATTGAGCCTTTTAAAATTAAGGTGTTGGTTTCAGAGCAACAGCCTGCATTGGGAGCCCCCTCAGCCTCCATGGGCCTCGCCCTCAGGCACTAATCTCTCCCATCCTGCTGAGCACCAGTTCAGCCACAGGTCACAGCCCCCTTGCACAGGTGTCCCTGGACCCCAGCCCTCCCACCAGAGAGTACCTAGCACCAGCAGCTGGGTGGTGTGGGTGGTGCTGCCCTCAGTGCTGGAGGCTTGGCAGGTGTAGACCCCAGAGCTGCCTCGCTCTACCCGGTGGATCCGCAGCGTCCCGTTCTGCACCTAGGGAAGGAATGGGTGAGGAAGAGTCCCTTCTCCTGCCAGCCTCAGACCCTGCACTTCTGAGGCTGGCCAGCAGAGGGAGGCAGCACCCCAGGCTCGGGGAAAACAATGCCAAGCCCGTCTTCCCGCCCATCTTCCAGCCTGGCCTTTGCCCCTTCTGTCCTCTGGCCCCACTGCCAGGCCCCCACCTTCCCTTCACATTCTGTCTGGTTCATTCTGTCCACCCCCAGGACTCACTTGCACCTGGCCCTGGCCCTGGCCCAGGTCCTGTCCTCTGAGCTTCCAAGTCACACGAGGCAGGGGGCTTCCACGGGCCACACAACGCAGGGTCACAGGCTCCAGTTCCTGCACTTCCAACACAGCAGGAGGTGTCTCTTGGAATTGAGGGGGCGCTGCGAGGGAGACAGGTATCAGGGGCCCCAGGGGGCTATCAGCCAAAAGAGCTGTGTCCCAGGGCCTGGGAGACAGACCACTCAGGGCTACAGCCCGCTGCCCACCTGCCAGCCCCACCTCACAGGAATCCCCAGCCTGGGGCCACGCTGTCTATGAAGAGTCTATCAACCCACCCCACACACTGGCCTGGGGCTGAGCCCAGACTGGATGCCCAGAGCTGGGGAGAGAGCCACGTCCCCTCAGGAGGAGCACTGTTCTGGGAGTCAGGAGGCCTGGGTCCTAGACTCTGCCCTGCCACTAATCAGTGGCATAACCCAGCCTCGCCTATGCAATGGGGATGATGATGACCTCCTTCCTACTTAGGAGCGAGGGAGAAATAATAAGGGCCTGAGTGAAAAGGTGTTTTGAAAATACAGTGCTGGCCAGGCGCAGTGGCTCACACCTGTAATCCCAGCACTTTGGGAGGCCAAGATGGCAGATCGCCTGAGGTTGGGAGTTCGAGACCAGCTGACCAATATGGAGAAACCCCGTCTCTACTAAAAAATACAAAATTAACCGGGTATGGTGGCATATGCCTGAAATCCCAGCTACTTGGGAGGCTGAGGCAGGAGAATCATTTGAACTCAGGAGGCAGAGGTTGCAGTGAGCAGAAATCACATGATTGCACTCCAGCCTGGGCAACAAGAGTGAAACTCCATCTCAAAAACAAAAACAAACAAACAAAAAAAAAAAGAAGAAAAGAAAAAAGAAAGGAAGGAAGGAAAAGAAACACACATTGCTGTATATGTGAACTGTGTTTCACTCAGCGTCCAAGAGCCCCCTCTCTCCCACCCATTTTCCTGGCCAGGGAAGAGAAAGAGGAAGCTCCTGACATAGAGCCTAGTGGACTGATTGGATTTATATTTGAAGAACTGAAAAGGGCAGCATGGGGAGGGATGAGATGCAACCCCTAAGCGAGCAAACGGGCTGCCAGGAAGGGTGGGAGCTGCTCGCAGAGTGGAAATAGAACTCCCTCTTCCCCTTTCTCCCACCAGCCAGAGCTCCCCATTCTCCTCCGCCCTGTCTTTCTCCACCACCTGCCCCCCAGCTTCATACAATTGACTGTCAGATGCACCCAGGAGCCGTTAGCCAAATCGTCTTCGGGGATGTGCTGGTCCAGGAAGAGCACGCGGCACTCGTACCAGCCCTGGTCTTCCACCCGCAGACCCTCAATCTGGAGAGAGGCCCCCTTCTGCAGCCGGACTCGTCCTGGGGAGGAACCCTGAATCAAGGGTGCTGAAGGGACCCCATGAGAGCCCCTATTTCCTTGTCACACTGGTAATTCGTAGAGGTAAGAAAGAGTAGGCTCAGTCTCTCCCAGTTACTCTGGGAGTGTGGGGTCCAGAGAGACGCAGATGGGGTTGGGGTCATTCAGGACAGGTCCCTCCATTCAGCCCCTCTGACCACCCTTGCCATTCAACAGCTGGGACCCCATCTAGACAAAGAGAAACCTAGAGGGACAGCAGGTGGACAGCACCTTCCCCTGAACTGCACTTGGCATCCAGGACGGCTGGGGGAGGAGGTGAAGAGTCAGCACATAGTCTGCTCTGGATTCTTACAGGATCTGTCCACCTCTGGGTTCTTTTAGCAGGGGAAAGTGTGAGCTCCTGGGAGTACTCCTAATAGAGGACTGTGTCCCTGAAAACCTCAGCAGTGTTTGAGGCCCTAGCAGGGGAACCCAGACCCCGCCTGCCAAAGCCCCTAATCCCTGCGGGCTATTATCAGCAGCCTAAGCGCCTTAGGGTGGCCAGGGTCCAGCCCAGCAAGCAGCAAAGTCAGCAGCTTCCTCGCCCCATCCTCTCCATGCCCCGGGGCACTCAGGCCCCAGCTGGCTGACCACACACAGTTCCACAAAGCCACACAAGCACAGCACAAGCAGACACCTCAATCCCACCCTTAGTCAGCATCCACACCACACCACACCACCAGGCTCAGAGCGAGGGTGCCTACCCCACCCCTCAGCACCCTCCCTGGATGGAACTGTGCACCCCAGACAGCTTCATGGGACCCTGGCAGTTTAGCCTAGTGAGACAGGCACACACTTGGGAGCCAGATAGACCCAGGCATGAGTCCAGCTCAGCTGCGTACTCTTTTGGGAAAGTTACTTAACCTCCCTCAATTTCAGTGTCCTCGTCTGTAAAAAGAAGAGAAAGAAACAGAATTGGGGTGGGGTGGAGGAGAGGAATAATGCAGGGAAGGCGCGTAGCATGGTGCCTGGCATCCGTGGATGCTCAAATAAACGTTGTTGAACAAATAAATGAGCTCTAGATTTGAAATCAGAAAGCTGCACTCAAGTCCTGGCTCTGTCCCTAAACTGATCACACATTGTCTCCCTTTTCTCTCCCTGTATCAGTGAACAGCACCACAACACACCAAGTCACATTATCAGGAACCTGGCATCTCTGAGATTTCTGGAATCTACTAGCTCATTAAGTTTTTCAAATCCTACCTCCTAAACCTTTTCCCTTCTCTGCTGTCCTCACCTTTATACCTGTGGCATGTCTCACCTGGGTTTCCCCAACAGCCTACTTGCAGGTCTCCCTGCCTCCAGGCTCCTCCCCTCCACCTCACATAGTTCATCCCCACCTTGACCTCTGCTATGGGCAAATGGAACGTTCTTTTCTTTCTTTCTTTCTTTCTTTCTTTCTTTCTTTCTTTCTTTCTTTCCTTCTTTCCTTTTTTCTTTTCTTTTTTTCTTTTTCTTTCTTTCTTTCTTTCTTTCTTTTTTAGACAGGGTGTCACTCTGTTGCCCAGGCTAGAGTGCAGTGGTTTGATTGTAGCTCACTGCAGCCTCAAATTCCTGGGCTCAAGCAGTCCTCCTCCCTCAGCCTCTCAAGGAGCTAGTACTATAGGCACGTGTCACCATGCCTAGCTAATTTTTTAATTTTTGCAGAGAGGGGTCTTGCTATATTGCCCAGGCTGGTTTCAAACTCATGGCCTCAAGGGATCTCCAGCCTCAGCCTCCCACAGTGCTGGGATTAAGCTGTGAGCCACTGTCCCTGGCTGCCTTTTCTTAATCTTATGTTGTATGCAAATGCAGCTCCAAGGTCCTTTGCATAGTGTCCACCCCAGCGCTTCCTAATACTAGAAATTCTGAAGCTGTGAATGCACTCAACCCCTCCAATTTGCTTCCATTCTACCTCTAGAGTGATCTATTTCAGAAATAAGATAATCTCTTTCAGGAAGAAGAGAAGGATCAGGTTGAGGGAGGCTTTGTGATCTTAGGCAAGAGTCTTTTTCTACTTAGAATGAGTTCCAGGGGTGTGGATTCTCTAGAATGGGTGGACCTGCCTAAAGGGCTAGGTGTTTAAATCCCCACCCAGGAGATAAGACCAGGCCTAGCAGGTAAATATTTAACATAATCACACCCTTCCACCCACTGTCAGGATTCCTCAGGAAGGCTAATCTGCCTGGCCCTGAGCCCTGCAGACCCCAGACTGCAGCCTCTCCTATGTCCCACATGATACTTTTATTGTAGTGATCTTCTAGCTCTGCAAAGAGGGAAGGAAGATTGAGTGTGGAATATGGGCCATGTAATATTACACGTTCTCACCATATTTGATCCTCTCAAGAATGCCATTGTAGCTGAAGGAATTAATGGTAAGTTTCTTTCCAAAATCACGTGGCTAGTAAGTGACAAAGCCAGGCTTCTTTCTCCAGACACAGCAATGTGCTTCCCATGGACACGGGTGTTAGGACCAAGGGCTGTTCAGGACACTGAGCGTAATCGGTGGGTTCTCACTTGGGAGATGCTGGTAGCCACTGGGTAACAGTCCAAATGCTACTCAGAATAGGCAATGGAGCACACTGCGTGTCCTAGCTTTTCTGTGACACTTGGACTGCTAGACCTGTAGTGTCACAGAAGAACAGGAAGATCGCCAGTGGGACAGCCCTGAGTCCCCCTCCTGAGCCCTGGGCCCACCTCCCGGAGGCCTCCCTCCACCTGCAGTCCCAAAGCCTGTTGATTTCAGATCTTCCCATATGCATGGCTGTGCGAAGAAAACAGGAGACCACCTGAGGAAAGCTGGTGTCGACTAAGCCCAGCCTGCCTTCCCCCGGAGGCCTGGTCCTGGGTTCACACCACACCGGCACTGTGAGGGCACAGGGCGGGGCGCCTGACACACTGCGGCCACCTCAATTCTACTCTTGAGTGCTGGCTTGTTTTCTATTACTTTCACTCCTTGGCACTCATGGATAAATCTAGTCCCCTCTGCTAGACGCTTCTAGAGTCCTCAAAGATGGGAAGCCTTCTGTTCGGCGTGGTCCCTAATGCTCCCAACAGTCTCTCTCAGGGTTCCTCACACATTCTAGGCCACCAGCCCCACAACGGTCCCTGGCCCATCTTCCCTTCACTGCCCAGAGGGTTTATGACAGAAGAGCATTGTCCTTAGCAACCTCCACCTCCTGTTGCTTAGCAACTGCAGTTCCGAGTCCCCTACACAAAGGCTGAGAGGCCCCTTCCACACCGTGAGGCAGTCAAAGGGTTAACAGGCTCAGGGCCCTCCCTCCCTCCGCCAGCTCTGGCCTGACCAGGAGCTTCCACGGGGGCAGGAGTGTGAACAAAGCGTAGGGGTAGAAAGCAAGTCCCAGCGGCCACTGCTCACAGCCCTACAGTTCAAGCAGCAGCACAGACAGAAGGAAGACCCACAGGTAGACAACGGGGCTAGCCGTCCAGTGGCTTGAGGCCTGAGGGACCTCAAGGCAGGACACAAGCTGGAGAGAAGGAACAGCTTCCCGTCTCCCTGGGGGAGTCCCAGGAAAAGCCCCTCTCCTCCGCCTCCCCTTGCCTTGCCCTCAGTCAGGCAACATTCTGAATCTGCCCAGCCTCAGCCCCGCAGCCCAAGACCCCTCCCCAGCCCGGACAGGCAGAGGCAGGGAGGGAGGGCTGGTGGGCACAGCCCTTTTTTCTCCACTGGTGCTAATTGGGGCCCGCTTTCATTCATTCCCACAGGGCTTGTGCAGACACATACACTCCCACCAGGCTGTTTGCCAATAACTGCCCCCAGTTTGAAAATAAATTTCCCGTCTGCACCACCTGCCTGTACCTCCTCCCCTCTCTGCTCAGTCCACCCCGTGTCAAGGGCTCAGCCAATCCCAGGGTTTCCTTCAGGATTCAAATGGAAGAGGGCAAAGGTGGGGGTCTCCCCACTGACGCCCTCACAGGTGGCCTTTCCCAGATTTCCCCTCTGAAGAGGAGGCAACAAGACTCGCCCTCGCCCTACAGCCCAGGCCCGTCCTTAGGGCCTCCCGCATGCTGCCCCCTGAGACCTGGCACTAAACCGCTTAGACTAAGGCTCCATCCGGGATTAGGAGGAAGCAGAGCCATTGTAGCCATTCTAGGGAGCCAGCTGGGGCGCAGCAGAAGGCACCCGGGGAGGCTACACACGATTTTAAGTCCCAACAGGAGCCACCTAAAGCAGCAGCCCTGGCCAGCACCTTCCAGTCACTGACCTTTGGGGAATCTGGATCCTCCCCAGCACCCCCTCTCTGTACACCTGTGCTTCTCTACTCAGAAGCAGGCTGAGCCCCCCTGGAAAAGCAGAGAGGTCACAGCCGCGCCCACTCCCAGAAGCCGACAACCCCCAAACTAGCATTTAAGACAATGAGGAAGGAGAGGGCAGAGGAGTGAGCAGACAGTAGAGCGAGGACCAAGGTAGGGCCAAGTAGGGAGACTAGAGATCAGGATGAAGTCTGGGAGGTTTCATGATGAGATCTAGAAAAAGCAATTACAGAATTAGGATGGATACTTGGAATAGGGCCGCAGGATCTCCTCTGGAACAGACCACGTGGAGTTCTAAATAGCACAGCTATACGTGTGCGTGTGCGTGTGTGTCTGTGTGTGTAAATGAATGAATCGTTCAATGAATTAACTGCTTGGGAGCAGAGCCATGCTTGTTAAGCAGAGTTAAGGCAGTAGAGCTGGAGATGAGATCGGGGCCTGGACAGAGTGGTTCACAGGGGGCCTTGCCTGACTCTACGAAGCCCACCTTTCTTGCTGATACCTCCCTACCCCCCACCTGAGGAGAACTCTTACCCACGTAATCAGGGTCAATTCGGGGAGAGTAGAGGCCGAACTGGATGAAGATGGGAAGCAGGAATCCAAAGCGCATCCACTCGATGACATGCAGAGGGGGCCGGCCGGCCGGGGGCAGCAGGTCACAGCCCAGCACCACACTCTCCCCAGCCCGGCCCACCACTGAGTCCACCTCAGACTTCCCTTGACCTGCGTGATGGATGGTATGAGGGCACAACAGGGGGCCAGGGTCAGTGCTGGGAGGGGAGATGTCATCAGTATCTCTATAGGCACCTTAGGACTTTGGGTGACCAGAGGAACCCCTAGTTCAGCTTCTCCAGAACCAGCCCTCTTCCTCCCCTGCCCTGCTCAAAGAGGAACCCTTGAGGAGCACCCCATCCTCACCCCAAGGCTAACAGGGAGTTCTTAAGCCCAGGAGTTCAGCTCACCGTCAGCCCCCTGGCTGATGACCAGGCTGAGGACAGCCAGGCCGAGGCACCACACCATAGCCCAGCTGGCCTGCTCGCCCAGCCCCTCCTATCCGCAGGAGCCCAGGTGGAGGGGCCAAGGGATGTCCTTGCGATCAGCTCAGGGCACAGGTTTCAGCTCTCACTCTTCTGGACAGTGAGGGCTTGGCTCATGTAACACCCAAGGAAGCTGCTCTCTGGAGAACCACCAGATCTAAATGCAAAGTGCAAGGCAGCAGGCAGAGTTGGCCAATACTGGAGTCCAGGAGAAACCCCACAGTTAGAGAAAGGCGCTGGGAAGAGACAGGAGGGGGGAGCATAGGTAACTGCGGGGAGGGGGAAAGGGGGAGGATCTTGAAGTTCTGGGGAATAAGAGCAGGGGTAGGAGTACTGGGAGAATGGTGAGTGCTGAATGCAGAGACCAGAAAGGTGAGGAAATGGGGAAGCTGGGAGAGTTGGGAAGGTCTTGGGAAATGTGGAAGGATTCTGGGGATGCCTAAGTTCTGAGGGTCTTGAAAAGCTAAGCCAGGAGAGAACTGGGGTTCCTTATATACTTGAAAAAAGACTTTGGAAGGAAGTACAGTAGATCAAGACACTCATGGCCCAGCCTGCTCTTGCTTCTCCCCTTACTCTTGATGCTACCAAGGTATAGCAGCAAGAAGGAACCAGTGCTGTCGCCTTCACCCCACTGTGGCAGATAAGGACCCTGAGGATCTCTGCTCAGGGACAGAGAGCCAGTCAAGGGCAAATCCTGGATGCAAATCCAGGGTCCTTAACCATCAGAAAGTGGTCCCCAGGACACCCCCATACACTCCCTTGCCCTATTTCCCCAGCCTCTATGAAAAACCCTGGAAACTGGAGACCCGGAGGTCTTTCTCCACTCAGTCTCCCTACACTGCTACACGGCCTTGGCAGTGAGGGAGTCAGGCACTTTCAAGAGGAGGAGCTGCTTCCCCCACCTGCCTGTATGGGGGGCCCAGGCAGCATCCTCCAGGTCTGGACAGGTCCCGGGGCTGGCAGCTTCTTCCTGATGATACAGCCAAGCAGCCCGCCCCCTGCCAGGCACCACCACTCGAGGACCTCACCCAAATTCCTCCCACTCACTCCCCTCCAGTATCCTCGGGGTGCTACAGTTTGGTTTGTCAGGCTCTCTCTTCCTCAACCCCAGGGGCATGGTCCAAAAAAAGCCTGTGAGTCCCTGAGGTGTACAAAATTAGCCCTGAAGCATGGAGCGTAGGAACTCTTGACAGCCCCACAAATCCTAGGGCAGTCTCAGAGAGCCAGAGGGTCCATGCCAGGGCCTGGCACAGCCAAGTGGACTCTGCTCTGAGGCCTCCACTCCACTCTTGGCCACAAAGTTCAGGACAAACTATAAAACATCCTCCACGGAGTCTGATCCCTGCCTCTACTTAATGATCCTGTATGTCTAACTTCTGGCAATTCACTAGCAACCATGCCCCCTGCTTCCCACTGCCTCCAGGCAGCTCTCCCATACTTCCCTAAAAAACCTTTTTCCAAGTTTATAGGAACCCCTAGTTCTCTCCTGGCTGTTTTCCAAGACCCTGAGTAACCAGGCATCCCCGGAATTCCTCCGAGTCTCCTAAGATCTTTCCAACTCCCCAGCCTCCACTATTTCCTCACCTTTCTAGTCTCCCCACACACAACTCCCTCATCCTCCCAGGACTCCCTTCCCAGTGATTGCTGCTACGCACAGTCCCCCTCAATTCCAGCTTCTCGCACCTGATCTCCCATTGTAGCAGGTCCTCCGCGCTACAAAGAACTCCCTTCTGGTTTCCCCACCCCACCCCCAGCCACTTCCCATCCTCTCCTCCCCAGAATTCCCCTCCCTGGGATTCTCCTGCCTCAGCCCACAATACACTTCTGATACCCCACCCCAACAATTCCTTTCTCCCTCGCATTCTCGGGTCCCCTGAAACTCTTCTTTTCTCTGGGAACCCACCAAGAACTCCCCCACGTTGCCTCCCGAACTCCTCCAGTTCTCCGGGAACCCCCACCCACCCACCAAGAATTTCACTTCCCTCCCCAGAACTCCCCCAGTTCTGCTCGCCCAAAGAATTCCACTTCTCCCTAGAACTCCCAGATTTCTCCTGTCCCCCATAACTCCACACTACTCTCCATGCCCCCGCCAGCACCCCCACTTCTATCCCCCCAGGACGCCCCCTCCCTCACCTGCTCCGCACGGCTCGGCTCCACTCTCGCCGCTACACAATAGGGGGCGGACCCGCCTCCCCGCCTCGGATGCCCCGAGCGCCTCCCGTCGCCCTGGAGACCGCCAATCCTCCTCCCGCGGCGGCCAATTGGAGCCGCCAGAGGCGCGGCGAGGCGGGCGGGGCCCCTGGGCGGCCTGGGAGTTGTAGTTTCAGGAGGGAAGGGCTCGGTGGCACGTGGGCTCAGGTCGCCCCCTCGTGGACCTCTGCCCAGCCAAGCGCCGAAAGGCGGGTCGGCAGCTTCCCGCCGCCAGCAAGAGGGGCCGCGGGGTCCGGCCCGCGTTCCGGGGCTGCGGGAGCTGGCCCCTTGACAGGTTCCTGGTACGCCGTCCTTCCTTCCGAGCCTGCGGGCGACCCTCTCCGCTCCCCTAACGGGCGCGCCACGGAGGCGGCAGCTAGGGTTGAAATCTGAGCCTGGGGCCAGAAGCACCAGGCGGGGAGCAAGACTCCCCGCCCTCCTCCCAGGGGATCCACCCAGGTCCCGGGCTCATCCGATCTCCTCCCCCATCCCCATTTCCACCTCCACCCATTGCTTCTCTAGCAGGACTGGAAATACCTGTCTGCATTGGCGCCTCCCACCGTGTGCAGCCGGGGCAGGCCGTGCTCTGAGCGTGGGGTTGCCAAGTCAGCTCCCGAGGCGGATCCAGCACCAACGACCCAGAGAAACAGGCCCAGAGGGGAGAAACGACAGATACTCTGACATGGGGGACGGAAAGAGGGGAATGAAATAGAGGGTCACGCACTGGACCCCTGCAGGGTGCCAGACCGGGACTAGATACTTTATAACTCCTGTGTAACCTGCACAAACACTGAGAAGTTAAGTAGAGCTCGCTTTGACTAACGAGAAAACTGAGGCTCAGGGAGATGAAGTAACTTGGCCCCAAGCTTTCCCCTCTAGGAAACGGCAGAGCTGGATTCAGACCCAATCCACACTTCATCTAACCCACTGCCTTTGAGACTTCACCCTCAGACACAAAGATATCTTGCATATCTTACCCCTTAGAGATTCGCTTCTACCTCCTCAGCTTGGTGATGCTGTAGGGATACAGGGTCGGCTTAAGCAATCATTGGCTGTCCAGGTCCTTCCTGTTTCGTTGGCTCGCTTGGAAGCTTTCCTTGAAAGCAACATGCCGATCTCATTCCAATCTGAAGTACTAAGACTCACACTGAGTGCACCAGGCATCAGACTCACAGAATCACTGCTGCAACGTCATGAGAGACCCTCCGGGATGGACCTAGGCACTGCGTGGCCCCAGAATCCCTGCCACATCGTTTCTCCAGGTAGTCATCCAAGCACCTATCTGATCACATCCTAGCCAGGAAGCTCAGCACTACTGTGATACCCATTCCATCCTTAGTAAGCTCTGCCTGCTGGACAGTTCTTCCAGGTGTAAAGATTTTAGTGCTTTGGGGTGACTGAGATGGAAGAGAAGAGGCAGAAGCAGTGGACCAGTCTCTCCCACCATCCCTCCAGCAAATGTTTCCAAAGTGGCAGCTTTTCAACATGGCTTTTCAATGTAATACACCGATCTACTGGCAAGATTATAATGGAAACATGCTAATGAATGCAGCATGGAAGCAAGGCTAAAAAAGATGGTCAAAGAGCGAAGCGTTTTTAAATCTTTGGATCCTCACTAGTCATCAGGAAGGATCTCTCTCCCACCCTGTTAGAATTGACCAAACCTCTGGTCTAAACTGCTGTCTCCAGTGGCTTCTTGAGGATAAACTAACCTCATTTGGACATTAAAGTAAGTTTTTGTTAAATGACATTTAAAACGGCTTTCAATTTTTAAAAGTGTATGATACGGCCTCCTTTTTTTCTGGAAGTTTATTTTGTGAGTTTTATTGTTACTGCCATGTTGTGTCTGATTCACAGGTATATTGAAGCTTTTTTCGTAAGAAAAGGAAGCTAGCCCTTTAACCTGTTCCCTCACTATGCTTGGAGTGAAAGCTGATTTAAAAAAATAGTCCCTGAGGTTCAAAACAAAAGATTTTCCTCTAGGTTGTCCTTGATTCATAGTCATTACTCTCTGGGAAAGCTTATTCAGCCAACAAGGATTTCACCTAATCTAAGTATCAGCCAGCCCCCATATTTTCAAATTGCTGACAAGGATATCAGAAAATATATCCTCCCTCTCCTCCTCCCCTCCTCTGATTCCTTTTCCTCCTCCTCCTCCTTCTTCTTCCTTTCTCTCTCTCTCTCTCTCTGTCTCTCTGTCTGTGTCTCTCTCTCTCTCTCTCTCAGAGCTGGACTATTCTCCTCCTCCCTGAACATCAAAACTCCAGACTCTCCAGACTTGGGACTGAGAGTTATACCACTGGCCTCCCCAGTTGTGAGGCTTTTGGACTTGGACTGAGCCACACTTCCGGCAGCCCAGGGCCTTCAGTTTGCATGTCATAGGACTCTGCCTCCATGATCATGTAAGCCAATTTCCCTAATAAATCTCATCTCATTTTTCTGTATCTGTATCTATCTATCCTACTGGTTCTGTCTCCCTGGTGTATACCTAATATTTCAGCAGGCCTTGTGAAGAGAGGACCCGAGCTGCTCCACAGCCCTGCCTGCACAAAGGGGATGGTGTGACCTCAGAGATGTCTGCTTGGCACCATTAAGCACATGTATTCCCAATCAGCAGTTTCTCATTGTCCATAGATAAGCAGAGAATTACTTGATATCAAATGAACCCTGAAAGTTGGAACACATGAACTTTTAGTAGGAACCACATTTGATGTGTTAATGCTGCTTGTACCAATTAAGCACCACGTAACTATCCCATATTCTGGAATAGATAGTGTAGATTTAGTCATCAATAATGTGGATGCTGTTAATCAGGCGTATATTAAATTATATCTGAGCTAAAAAAGAAAAGAAAAGGTTGTCAATTCCAGGGACTCTGTTGACCACATGCTTATAAGCAGTAGTCTTCTTACCAGATCAGTAAAGAAGTGTAGTTTCTCATCTACTGTCATTTAACTTTTTGTGTACCTGTCTTCTGTCCCAGTGAGACACTAAGCCCCACGAGGGTGTGTCTATTGTCCTGTTTGTCCTTGAATTCCCCCTTCAGAAAGGCCCTGCTTACCTTTCCAGCCTGGTTTTCTCAGCTACCCCTTTACCGCAGTGTGCATGGCCTTGAAGGCTTAGAACTACTGTGCTCCCATGTCAGTGTCTCAGCACTTAGCTGCCCTCCGGCTAGAATGCCCTTTTCTCCTTTCCCCAGACTCACTGCTGATCACAGGTCAAATTTCTATGATCTGTTCCCTCCAGGACACCCTCCCTGACTCCTCCCACCACACCCTCATCTTCATCCCAGCCCTGGCACACCTTGTTATTTTAACTTTACACACTCCACAAAACATTCCTTGAAGGCGTAGGTGTCTCTTCTGCCTCCCCAGTCCTTGCCAAGTTCCTGTCTTGTTGCAGAGGCAGAGGCCTGTGCCTCTCTGAGTTAATATTCAACTTTCTTTCTTTCTTTTTTCATTTTATTTGAGACGAAGTCTTGCTCTGTTGCCCAGGCTGGAGTGCAGTGGCGAGATCTCGGCTCACTGCAACCTCCACCTCCTGGGTTCAAGAGATACTCCTGCCTCAGCCCCCCAAGTACCTGGGATTACAGGTGCATGCCACTGCGCCTGGCTAATTTTTTGTATTTTTAGTAGAGACAGGGCTTCGCCATGTTGGCCAGGCTGGTCTTGAACTCCTGAACCTCAGGTGATCCGCCCGCCTCTGTCTCCCTCAACTTTCTTTAAGGTCTCATCCTTCCTCTTCCCGATGCTCAGCCTGTTTTGAAGCCTCAGCCCTTCTCTGCTCAGAGATTGGCTGTGAGAAGAAGAAACTTTGCTAACTTCCAGGAAAATCCCTGGGCCTGTCATACGTTCATTCCTTTATTTATTTTCTATAAACTCAACCCTGCAATAATGAGAAATGAGCTGCCCCTTTGTGTACAGATGGACTCAAGGTGGCCCTTCCAGACAGTCCCCAGCCCTGCAGTGGTGCCTCCTAGGACAGGTATAAAAGGAAACCGAGGAACTGGGGGCTGCTGGCCATTTGGGAAGCAAGACTGCTCAGGGCCTAAGAAAGGCCCAGAGAACCAGCCTCAGGCCAGGGACTGCCTTCCAGAGGGGCAAGGGCTCAGGCCCTCAGAAAGCAGAGGGGACCAGTTTACCAGCACTAGGAGCTCTTGGGGCCGGTTTCCCAACCTTACTACCTCCTTCCCAAGCCCCAGGAGGCTGCATCTCCTGCACAAATACCTAGGGAGACCCCTACTCTTGGTTTCTGGCCTGCCCCATGCAGCTCTCAAGGCCCTCCTCCCGGGCGGTCATGTGCCAGCCCTTGTGTCCTACTTTCCTAAAAGCCAGGTGTCCTTAGTCTCCTTGGTTTCCCAATTGAATGCACTTCACTGACCCCTTCACAGACTTCCTGTTCTTTTTTTGGAAGATACTTTTGAGATCAGCATCCTCTCCCTCAAAAACAAGAGGAAGAAGAGACCCACAGCAACGTCAGGCGTGCCTCCTGCCACGTGGCCCTCTCCTCACTCTTCAGATACCTCTTCTGAAGCCTCCTAGGGCGCCCAGCCCACCCTGTCTCTGTGGGAGCTCCGAGCTGCCCGGCTGCCTGCCTCTGTCTTCCAGTGTGTGCTTCTTGCAGAAAGGGACTGTAGGTCAGTGGAAGTTTGCTGAACACAGGGTCACAGGCCAGAGGTGAGTGGCAGACCAAAGCCCAGAGCTCCAAAACGTCACCTAGGCTCTTCCCGCCATACATATCACAGCCTTCACCACTTTCTACAATTCGCCCACTGTGGACACCTGTCCTGGTTTCTGATTCTCTCTCCAGTCTCCTCTCCCTCTAACTTCCTGCCCCATGGCAGCTGCATAAGTAACGTCCACAAGATCTGATTTGGAGGGAATGATGGAGACTTGGGCAGGGGCACTCCAGGCCTGGGAAGAGAATTCAGGCTGATCACTGGGCTAAGGAAACAGCGAGCACATAAACTTAACAAGCCTTTGCCAGGGAGTGGGGGGTGGGTAGTAACCCAGGACAAGACCACAAAGAGAAGGCCTAAGACATGGAAATCTAAAAGCAGGGGACAGACACGACAGTAATACTAATCACAAGCAGAAGTCAAGGCTCCATAATCTCGGCTAACGATCCAGTGGAGCTGTCATTCCCATGGGGTAGGCGCCAGAGGCCCAGAGCAACTGGCATCAGGGAGATGACGGAGAGGTCGCGGGGCTCAACTCAGACCCAGAGTATGTCTGAACGAGGCCCTTCCCCACCTCCCTGTTTAGGACAGCTTCTACACCAGGCTGGGATGGATGGGGTTGTTAAGCAAATGCATCTGCCAGGATGAGAGTGGGGTAAGGGAGCAGAAGAATCTTAACAGGAATAGGCCACTTTTATGCAAGATTTGAAATGCCTGAAACTCTCAAATCACAGGTTCAGTTAGGTTCAAAGAAATCTCTCACTTTTCTTATTTAATGCATAAATAGCAAGCAAGTTGGTGGAGAACGGGATAGGTGGTGAGTGACAGCATACCAACACTTCCCTGTGAGGGGGCCTTTTAGACCCACTTTCCTCCCCAGAGGTGGGCCTGAAAAAGCACATGGACCTGGGAGAAGGCAACTGGATTTGGGGGAAAGCCAGCAGAGTGGGTTTTGCCAGAGCCACCCAGCAAGGACAGAAGGACCCAACACAGCTTCTGCAGAGTTGTGGTCGCCTAATTTGACTTTATTGGCAGCCAATCTTCCCTCAGAAGCATGGCTCACTGCATATCCACCCCCGAGCACCTCCTTCCCCTAGAAGGAAGTTGAGGAAGCATTCTCTGGGTGCTGGGAAGAAACCAAGCTCAAGACTGGGGTTCCCAAGGAGCAGTCAGGAAGTGCTAGAGCCAGGCTTTGCCTTCCTTCTCAATTTCATTCTGTTTCTCCTGAGTTTCTTCATCCTTGGCATTCTGCATCTTTTCCAGACTTGGATGACCCAGATCCCAATGGCCAGAATTAGCAAGAGCAAGAAGATGAGCAATCCCTTGGTCAAGAGGCAGAAGTCTGTTGAGGGCTTCTCAGAAGCATAGTCAGGATCTGGGATGGAAGAAGGGAGGAAAAGGGCCCATCAGAGGTAGGGCTAGGGTTAAGATTAGGGGGTAGACTCCTATCCAGATTTCATGTAGGGGTCTCAAGCTCACAAACAGTTGATGTCCCCTTGCAATGTCTCTGGAAATATATTCTATGCACAGAAGCTCAGAAACTGAGATCTAGGAATCATTCTGAAGCCAAGCAAGAGAAAAGAACTTTGGGAAGTCGGGAGCACCAGAAAAAGGGAGGACCTCTCTCCAATCCAGGCGTCAAGCCTCCATGGGAGGGGGTTAGCTTCTGGATTCCTTGGGCTCTCTTGGAAAGAGCTGGGGGAGGGAGATGATGCTATGGTGCTCCAGGCACGGTCTTGCATGAGCTCAGGGGGAGTCTCAGGGGTTCTGGTACCTGCACAGAAGGGCCCAGCAGGGATGGGGCGAGAACTGATGTTGCTGATGGGGTTGCTGGCTCTGCAAGTGTAGAAGAGGGCCCTGTCCCCCGGACTCCAGGCTGTGCTGAGGACAGGGCCTTCATGGGATGTGTAAGTGCTATCCCCCCAGGAGAGCCAGCTGTAGGTCACGTCCATGCCTGCCTTCTCCACAGAGCACATCAGGGACATATTGCAGGCACCTTCCCCAGAGATCTCAAACTTCACGGTGATGTGGGGCTTTGACAGCCGTCCTAGATGAAGAAAAACACAAAGGCCCTCTACACAATCAGGGGTTGGGTCTGTTTTCCTAAACTCCTCAAATCCGGGGTACTGATGCTACCCTTTGACAGTCCCTTCGCCTAAACAACAAACAAGCAAAAACAAACCCAGCCACTATAAAAGCTGTGGTTCCAAGGTCCCCAAGGCAACTGTCGAAGTAGACAGGGCAGCCTTTGGCATCTTCCACTTCCCCTTTATATCTTCTCTCTCTTACTTTTGTACTCCACCTTCCTCCATCCACATTCTGTCTCCTTGATCCCATCAAATATTATCACCCCTCTCAAGGGCATTTACATTTTAATCAGTGTCTCTACAAGCTTCAAGGTAGATGCAATGTGACAGGCACTAAGAAGAAATTTGGGTTCAAGTAAAGAGAAGATACTCATTAGTAGCCCTCATCACACAGGAAAATAAAAGGCTCAGGAATGCAGGTGGTGTTCGTCCCCAGGACGCAATTTCATTGGAAGAGAAAAGCCCTCTACAGGGTCCGTACATGAAGCACCTGATCCCTGACACTGCATCAAACACCTCCATGGGAACAGCCTCCTTGCCCCAGCTCACTTCTCCTGTTGCTGCAGTTCAGATACAACAGGTGGACTGGGCACACTCAATTCCAGCATCTAGATTGGAGACAGTCTGCCTCCAATTCCAGCCCCCCAAACTATAATCCCAAGTCCTGAGACCCCTACTTCATGATGTGAGCAGCTCAGAAGAGCTCCAAAAAAGCAGCTTTCTGGTTCCCAGCCTAAACTCACGGTAGACACGGAGATCGTACTCCTGCATGATAGAGATCTGGGATGATCTCAGGTTGACTTGAACCTTGTAAAGCCCCGAGTCCTCCCAGCTCAGATTGCTGATATGCAGGGAATAGCTGGGGTCCAGGAGGCTCACTCGGCCCTGGTACTGTGGGTTGGTCACCATGATGGTAGCTGGATGTCCCTCTTTCCCTGGCACTACAGTTGCAAGGGTTTTGTGGGAGGACCAGAGGATGTTCTCAACCTCTTCATCGGGCGGTATTTCCAGGGGGAGGATGATGGACTCCTGAAGGACCGCAACCACTTCCTCAGGATCCACATCATCTCCAGAGTCTCCTTTGGCTGCAGATACAGGAAGAAAAGAGAAGCAAACAGTCCAGCTGGTGTCTCTGGGCTGCTGAACCTGGCAGCGAAGCTGTAGCGTAATCTCAGCTGGGCAGCTTCTCTGGCTCTCACACTAAATCCTGTTCTCCAGCTGCTGCTTCTGGCTTCAGAGTTCCCCTATGTCTGAGTTGAGCACCTACCAGGAGTTTGCTTCTGTCTGTCCCTTCACCTTCCAAGTTATACCTTCTCCTTTGCCGTCTTGGGATTGCTCTTCCTTCCGTATCCCCAGGTGTCTCTAGGTCCTGGCCTGAAGCCACACATCCTATTCCTTGTAACTCCAGAAGAGCTGACACATTCAAACCCTAAGGAATGGTCTTGCTGGCCCTGGCCCAGAGAGGCAGGAGAACAGAGGTGGAAGGGGACATTCCTGTGCAGGAGCTGGCAGCCTCACTCACCCTCCTGGAGCAGCAGGAAAAGGAGCAGCCAAGGAAAGGCATACATGTCAGCAGCCCCCAGTTCCAGAGGTGTGACTCAGTCGGTCGGTCCCCAGGACTGCACGGAAGACTGGGTTAGGAGGCTCCTAGAGACAGAGCCTGACTGACAGTCCTGAGGAAGGGGAAATGATTTTCCCCTGACGACAGTCCTCTGACTTCCTCTGTCCTCACTAAGCCCCACCCTGTCTACTGTGGCTCTCTTAGTTCTCTCTCAGGTCCTGATTGTCAAGACAGTTTACTCACCGACTCATGATACAATCCACCGAACTCAACCCAAATCGCACTTCCTAAATGAAGTCTTTCAAGACTTCCTACCTGCTGAATCCCCAGGTCTCCACACATACTGCAAGCCCCAAACTCTTAGAATATTCCTTATCCTGTTATTTGGCTCCCAGGGTACTCTGCCCTAGCTCTCTCTGGGTAGTTCCTGTATTGCTGTGATGATGTGGTCTTACAAACATCTGTATCTCCCCACCTTTCATTTCCTCCGTATGTCCCACTGCTGCTGTGCTGGCCCCCGTATTACACGTGTCTGCACTCAACTGATAGTTTTACAATGGACGAATGATGACACCCTTTTATTTAAAGCTAGTTACGTTCCCACCTGAGAGGCTATTCACAGGGGGAAAATTTTGATTTGATCCTCTTTAAGAAAGCAGTTTGGTCAGGTGCAGTGGCTTACGCCTGTAATCCTAGCACTTTGGGAGGCCGAGGCAGGCAGATCACCTGAGGTCAGGAGTTTGAGACCAGCCTGGCTAACATGGTGAAACCCCATCTCTACTAAAAATACAAAAATTAACTAGGTATGGTGGTGTGTGCCTGTAATCCCAGCTACTCAGGAGGCTGAGGCCAGAGAATCACTTGAACCCAGTAGGTGGAGGTTGCAGTGAGCTGAGATTGTGCCACTACACTCCAGCCTAGGAGAGAGTGAGACTCCATCTAAAAAAAAGAAAAAAGAAATAAAAGCAAAGAAAAGAAAAGAAAAAAAGCAGTTTGAACCAGAGAGTTGAACAATGTTGTTCATATTACGAAAAGACTTTAAATCATTTTGAATACAATGTTAATCAAACCCATACGAAATCAGATTCAGGAAGAGAGGGAACTGCAGAGGATCAAGGTTATTCAACAGCTTCCTGACAGTCAAAGCTGTTCTGGATGCAATGAGTTGCCTTAAAGAGTAGTTTCTGTCCCTCGTATTCAAGCTAAGGTGGACAATCACTTCCTTGGATGATGTGCAACATCTCTGGCATCAGATGGATTCTCAGACGGGAGAATCTTTAAGTTCCTTCTAATAATCAATTCTATGAGTCTGCGCTGTGATGAGGAAGTAAGAGTGGTGCCTCAAGACCAAGGGAACAATAGAGGAAGATGTATTCAGTTTTGGCCTTGTGCCAACATTTTGCAATTTTACGTTAGCAAATTCAGAAATCCATTAAATGTGGATTTATTGAGTGGCTTCTATAGCCCAAACACTGTCTTAAGTGCTGGGGAATAACAGTGACCAAGAATTTTAGATGGTGACTTCATGGAGCTCATATGCTAACAATTGACATTGGACAAGTAACTACAAGTTTGATGAATCTTACCAAAGGAATAGTTGAAGGAGCCTATAACAAGGAGATCTGGCAAAGTTGGAGTCAGGAGGGTTGGGGAAAAGCTATTGAGGCGAGATATTTAAGATGAGACCTCAATGCTTCAAACATTGATAGAATCTGCTTAGTGAAGAAGATAATGAAGTGAGTGTTAAAGTTCTTAAAGTTCAATTTAGGAGTATAAAACCTGAGGGATTATAATTTTTTCTTAAAGGTGAATCAGATTTCAGTCTGGGTATAAAAATTTTTTTATGTAATAAATCCGTTTAACAAATAAAATTAGATCCAGCAATCCCACTATTGAGTATATATCCAAAGGAAATGAAATCAGTATGTTGAGGTATCCACTCCACGCTCATTGCAGCACTATTTACTGTAGCCAACATATGCAGTCAACCTAAGTGTCTATCAATGGATGAATGTGTAAAGAAATTGTAGATATATACACAATGAAACGCTATCCACCCTTAAACAAAGAAGGAGGCTGGGCAAGAGGGCTTCTGCCTATAATCCCAGTGCTTTGGGATGCCAACGTAGGAAGATCCCTTGAGGCTGGGAATTTTAGACCAGCCTAGGAAACATGGAAAGATCAAAAGACCCTATGCCTACAAAAAAAAAAAATTATTAAAAAACATTTTTAAAAAACACTATCAGGGCATGGTGATGTATGCCTATAGTCCTTGCTGTTTGTTTGTGAGGCTGAGGTGGGAGGATTCTTGAGCCCAGGAGTTGAGGGTACAGTGAGCTATGATCATGCCACTGTACTCCAGCAGAGACCACCTAGAATAGAGACACATCCACCCACAGGCAGGGGGTAAGAGAGAGGGAACCAGCAGAAACTTAACCAGTAAAACTGCCCTTAACAGAAAACAGTTCATCCTAGCCGTCTGCCAGACCCACAGAATGCAAAGTCGCTCAGCTAGATAAGAAGAGTTTTAACACCCACCCTCCCCATCCTTCTGGAGTGTGAAAACCTGAGAGGAGGGGTGGTGAGTTGAGGGGGAGCAAAACAAAACAAAACAAACGAAAGCAAAACAAATCAATAACAAAAAGAAGGCAATACTATCATTTACAACGACATGGATGAACCTGGAGGACGCTATGTTTAGTGAAAAAAGCCAGACACAGACAAATACCACGGAAGTTCACTTCCACGTGGAATCTAAAAACGTTGAACTACGAGTAGAAAGGAGAATGGTGGTCACCAGAAGCTGTGGGAGGGATGGGGATTGGAGAAATGTTGGTGAAAAGATTTCAAAAGTGACAGTCAGATAAAAGGAATAAGTTCAAGAGATCTATTATATAGTATGGTAACTATAGTTAATAGCAATGTATTATATTTTTAAAAATTGCTAAGACAGCAGATCTTCAGTATTCTCACCACAAAAAAATATAGGCATGTAAGACAACACCTACGTTAAGTAGCTCAATTTAGCCATTTCACAACATATTCTTTTTTTTTTTTTTTTTTTGAGGCGGAGTTTCACTCTTGTCCAGGCTCGATCTCAGCTCACCGCAACCTCTGCCTCCTGGGTTTAAGCAATTCTCCTGCCTCATCCTCCCAAGTAGCTGAGATTACAGGCGTGTGCCACCATGCCTGGCTAATTTTTTTGTAGAGACAAGCTTTCTCCATGTTGGTCAGGCTGGTCTTGAACTCCTGACCTCAGGTGATCCACCCACCTCACCCTCCCAAAGTACTGGAATTACAGGTATGAGCCGTAGAGCCCAGCCTGTAATCATATTTTAAAACAACACGTTGTACACCATAAATATGTATAAATTTTTGTAAATTAAAAAAATAGAAATAAAAAATAAAAGCAAGGAAAGAAAAGAGGGTCATGTGCATCATGCTCAGAGCTTAAAAGATGAGTATATCCGTTAGGTTCTCTGAGAAGCAGAAGCTGAAGTTCAGAGCAAGAGTTTTAATGTGGGGAAAGGCCTGGAAAACATAAACAGAGAAAGAAGCAGGTGGAGCCAGAAGAGCCTCAGACTTTGATGCAGGTCTCAGAGTCTCAGCTGACTTAGCAGGGAGCTCTGGCACTGACTGCCCATTAGAGGAGGCCCGTGGTGGGCAGGCATGTCCAGGCACTAGGACTCTCGCAGTGCAAGAATGTCTCAGTGCCAGGACCCACGCTGTGCGCGCGAGCGTAGATCCCAAAGGTGCTGAAGCTAGAGCCTGTTGGTTAACTGCACTTATTGCAGCCAAAAATGTGTTGACTCTTGAAGGAGGAGCCAGGGATGCTACAGTGAGCATGCTGACAGCCAGAGGGAACTGTTCAGATTTATTAAAACTGTCTCCATAAGTAGGCATAAACAGTCCGTTACGCCTATTGAGGAAAGGAAAATAATTTCCACCCCACTGAGCCCTCAGAGTCCAGTGCAGAGAAAGTCATTTCTAAGAGCATAATTGTCAAGTCTAATTTTCGCTTATTTATTTATTTTTTTATTTTTTTAAGAGACAGGGTCTTGCTGTCACCCATGCTGGAGTGCAGTGATGCAATCACAGTTCACTACAGCCTCAACCCTCTGGGCTCCAGTCTGCTTTCCATCTCAGCCTCCCAATTAGCTGGGACTACAGGTGAGCCCCACCATGCCCAGCTAAGTTTTAAAAACTTTTTTTGTGGAGACAGGGCCCGGCTATGTTGCCCAGGCTGGTCTAAAACTCCTGACCTCAAGGGATCCTCCCACCTCAACTTCCCAAAATACTGGGATTCTGGGTGTAATTTTCATTCTTGTTCATGGATTATGATTCAAATAAAACTTCAATTTTTTTCTCTTACTGCCCTTTTAATCTTATTCAGTGGGGTAGTCTGCCCTGCCCCAGAATCTGGCCTCGGTCTCAGTCCAGAAATGAGTACTGGTCTCAGTTTAGAAATGAATACTTCTTGTCCTATGTAATATGCAAAATTTCAAACTGACCTTATTATCAAAGAATCTGCCTTATCCTGGCTTAGGTCATCCAGGCTAGAGGCTGTAAGTGCAGGAGGGAGCGGTCTCTCCTCTCTGCTGTGCTCAGCTTGCCTTTCCCCAACTGCTCCCCTCACCAGTGCTCCCCCTCAACTCACCTCACCCTACTCAGGTCTCCCCACTCTAGGAGGATGGAGAGTGTGGGGAAGTGTTACAATTCTTCTTACCTAGCTGAGTGGCTTTGCACTCTGTGGGCCTCGCAGACGGCCAAGATGCTCTTTCTGTTAAGAGCAGGTTTGCTGTTACGTTTTGCTGGTTCCTTCTCTCTTAGGGGTGGATGCACCCCTATTCTGGGTGGTCCTTTGCAACTCCTTCCTCAGCCCCTGGTCATCTGGCCACACATCTCATCTCCTCCTACTATTACAGAGACCTGTCCAAATGTCCCTATCATATAGCACCCGGGACAACCAAACAGGCTGTCTCATGGGTGGCCCTTAGCTACCCATGA